CCTACATATTGAAAGTACTGCACTGGTTCTTACTGCTATGTAGTAGACTGGGGAGGAGGGGGAAGTGAGGATGGTTGGAATCTACAAATTTAGCTGCTTTAATTACCTCAACCGCTTCACCTGAAAGTCCCAAACAAGCTGCTGCTGATCGCTTTTTCATCCTGGGTGTTCAAGTTCAGTACAAATTATGTATTAAACTTCCCTGCCCTTCACTGTGTTCTTTTATTTGGTTTGTTGTTGTTTTCCATGCAGTCCGTATGGTCTTTGGCCCAATCTATCTCACCTTCATTCTACTTTGACCTGAAAAATGCTTTATTTTTTTTTTTTTGAAATTTAAAAAAGATACGTTTGCAAAAGTAAACAGAAGAGAACCAAAATTTTAAGATAAATTATCTGAATTTTTTTTGGTTTCATGTTCCTAAACTTCCATTTGTATTACATGATTTTATATCTTCAGGCACATCTTAATTGATAAAGATGCATTTTGGTTTTGTTTCTAAATGTGTAATGGTAGGAAATTGTAAAGAGGGAAGTCTGAGGCCTCATTTACCAAATGACATTTGTTTTGTTCTCTGATGCTTCCCAACATTGAGAAGTGGTAATAGAAGATGACAGTCATGCACGTAGATTACAGTTGACTTGATATCCGAGAGATACCAGGCTTATTCCATGACTGGATATCAGTAACTTGGAAAAATAAACCATTTTAGTTCTCATAACTCCATACTATAATTGGTTCGTAGAGAGCTAAAGAAAAATATAAAATTTTGTAGATTTAGGGAAAATTTACTTTTTTTGTTTGTTTCATTGAAGGTGAAGAATGGCCCTACGTACAACTGTACAGAATGTAGCTGTGTCTTCAAAAGCTTGGGTAGTTTAAATACACATATCAGCAAGATGCACATGGGTGGTCCACAGAATTCTGCAAGCTCTTCAACAGATGTATCTCATGTTACAGCGGTAAGCTTTGCTTGGTAAATTGTGAAAATGACTTCAAGAGGTTAATTAGATCTATATCTTAATTCCAGTAATTCTTTGATAGGTTAGAACTAAAAGACCTATATCTGTTTTTTGTCTTCTTAAATCTTGTGACATTTTCAGAATTGATTTGCATTGTTGGCAGAATGTAAATTGGCCAATAACATAACAATAATTATGAAGTTTTCCTGGAACAATGGAATCTGGAACTATTCAAATTATATATTAGTTTTATTTCATTTTCAGAAATTCTTTATATAATTCTAGTCCATATAAAGACATAGTGGATGCTTCTGAGTATTTCTGATAACTTGTTTTAAATGCTAGCTTCTTATTTGACGGATCATAAAGGAAAAATCTTAGCTTTCTTGGAAGCGCTGAGTGTTGATTTTTTTCTTTACCAAAATACAAGAAACTAAATTTTGGAAAAGTTTTCTGGTTTCATAAGACTTTTTTTTTTTGAGCCATGATAATTTTTTTTTGAGTGCATGTTTAATGTATCATAGTACATTTTTTTTTTCTTTTAATAGAACTACCTTTTCTACCTTTATTCCACTCGTTTTACGTAATTTCCAGCTTCTATGCTTTAAAGGTCAATGAATGACAAGTAATATCAGACTTTGAAGAGGAGGTTTAAAATTTAAAGTCTCAATTTCATTATGCAGCTGTATCTTATTGAAAACAAGTGTCTAGTAGTGTTACTTGGAGAAACATTTTTCTTTTTTAGACTTCATAAAGTTTTTTTGTATGGCAGATGCTATTTATCTCTTCAGGTTAACTAAAAGAAAAAAGACTTAATTTGTTCTATTGTCTTGCAAGTGTGTATAATCTCTATATCTTTTTGTACATCTCTATATTCACAAGCCTAATCTTAAAAGCAGAATGGAAAAGGATTCTTTCATACTACCTCATGCTTGCTTTGCCTGACTAGCTGTGTTTTTCTTGTTTTGGTTTGCTTTAGTATTTTGCATTTACCTTGCATATTAATATTACAGAAGTGTGGTGTTTTTATCTTTGCTGCATGCTTACTTCATTGCTTGAGTGAAGGAGGGGAAAGATAAAGGATACCTCCATACAATAGTATAAGCAAAATGGGAGAAAAAAATTTCTTTCTAAAAACAGATGCTGAGAAGTTTAACAAGGAAGATAATAACGAGATAATAACTAACATGTCAATTGCATATTGAAAGAGTATTACACTTTTTATTTTTAATTTTGTATCTGAAACTGCAGAGATATAATTACTGATCGATCGATTATTATTGCTATGGGAAGATGGTACATTCTTGGATTAGCACTGGCATTCTTGTGTTAGAACTGACTTTTTCATTCTGCTCTAAACTTGCAGAGTTTCTTTTAACAACAAATCTCCAGTATAATAATTCTGTTCTGAAGTTCACGATCAGCCTCTGTCGTCCCTTGTTATATATCTGGGGACGAACAATGATTATGTCTTTAATACAACAAATCCCAAAAGCTGAAGTTTCCTGAAGTGCTATGCTGCCAAAGAAGGCATTCTTGTGTGATACATGAATACATCTTGTAAAATATAGTTACTGTAAGGTGGTTACCTGTTTTTTGCTGCATCAGTGCTTATAGCTAAGGTGTATTGGTTTTTGTAACTTGTGTTTACTTAATGTATATAATCTATGAACATTAGTGATTCTAGGTACTGTTGTATCTCACCCATAGTCTCGTTTTTTTCTGTCCCTAGTCTCCATGCTGTGGGAAAATGAACTGCACTACTTTTGTGTGATATTAGCCATGTTTTTCTTCTTCTTGTACAAACGCTTAAAGTACTTTATTTTCATTTTTTGGTAGGACTCTGTCACCCAGCCTTTAACAACGTCCCCTACTAATCTTTTACAACCTGTTGATAACAAATGGAAGAACGTAAGTGTACAGTTTTTGTTATATTTTTGTGTCAAGTCTAAAAGTGGGAGAAACTACAGAATATTTTAAACTTTCATTTAACTTGTGGGAATGGATATGCAACAGTCCTCTGTGGTAAGTTGATCAGCTAATACGTGAAGACAAACTTCTCGGTGAACGCAACTGGTTGTTTAGAAACGGAATAGGTCTTGAATGGTTTATGACCATATCATGATTGAGGGAATATGATTTGGCACATAATTCTGTTCATTAGGTCTTCAAAATGGAGACAAATATTTTCTTATAAGATTAAGGACTCTCATAAATACCGAATTATCCTGCCCCTCTGACTGTACTTCACAGGGATACCATAGTTAGGGTGGAGAGGGAAGGTGCTGTGTTGGTGCTAGCTGAGTTGGTTGGAACTGAGGCAGCAGGAGAACCATGGGGCTCACGAGGAGCCTGTGGAGCTGGGGAAGGACGATGCAGGGCTGACTTTCTGGAACCCCATAGCAAGCAGTCTTGATGTACAGGCGGGTGTGTCTTGATGGGCCACTCACAGTGAGAGCATTAGTGTGTTTTGTTGCAGTTATGTAGCACGTCGTTTGTCAGCTATAGGTTGCAGCATGGTATCTTAGTGACAGACTAATCTGACTTGCATTCCCCCTTCGAACCTTCAGCCACTCATTATCTCTTTGTGTACTAGAATCCACAAAACCAAGGACTAGGAAATGTCTGTATTGCTTTCGAGTCACCATAACCAGTCTATCCACTTTCTTTTCATCTTTTCTTATGAATTCAGTGTTCTGCGACCAGTTAACTTAAAGCTGAACAGAACTGATATGAACTAATTAATTACTAATATTTGCTGTATTAAATAGTTATGCTATATTTTTTACAAGACTTCAAAAAGCATAAAAATGACTGTTCTTCAAAAGCAGTTTTAGTGAATTTTCATTTCTTTAACCAATTGAAATTATTTTCCTTGATAAGGAGTGGTATCAGAGGTGATGCCTCATTTTTAGGAGGGGGGTGTGTGTGTGTGTGTGTGTGTATAAGCACAGGCCTGAAAAGAAGGTAATTGTCGAATGTGCCACATTGTGTGGTTCTCTGTACTTGATGGAGTGCCAGGTTTTTCCCCAGTGAGAGGTGCCAGTTGGGAGCAATAGATCCTTTTGCCCTTTCCTCCCAGAATTGCCTGGTGGTCTTGGCTGCCAAGTGGGAGAACTGTTTCAGTTCCATTCTTAGTCTTAGTGTCTTCAAACCTGTTTCTTCTCCAGAGAACGACTTAGTAACTGCTGAGCCACCAAGCAGTTTAAGTGTACAGAGTCAACTTCAGCTTGTGTGCAGTGGATCTAGGAAACCAAGCAAGGAGAAGCCTGGTTTTCTAGTTTGGCAGTTAGAACAGAAACCTGAATTCTCCTTCCTCTTGCTAGGGTACCTTCTATTTTTACAATAGTAACTATGTATGGGAACATGTTGGACGTTTTATGGTTGGACTTGATCTTCAAGGTCTCTTCCAACCTAAATGATTCTCTGATTCTGTGTATAGGAATCTTGTGGAAAAGGAACTCATGACATCACCTCAAAACTAATGCAAACAGATCTCAATGCTACAGTGAATCAGCAGCAAATTTGTTAAATGTTTTCAGATATTCCTCCTTTGATGTACTATCTGCTTGTTTCTGTGCCTTCAGATGCACAGCCTGGTTGTTTGTGTGCAGTTGCTGTTTGTTGAACTGGCATATATGCTCAGATTCCTCCATGGAACTGTACCAAGTGTCACACATGGTTTTAAGAAAATGTCTAATGTTAAGTTTTTGGTAAGAAGAGCTAGTTGCATCCTTAGTGATTCTTCTTTTTCCTTCCTGTAATGGAGGTGGTAAAAAGCAGGGATATGTTTTGTATTTTCAAATAAAATGACATACAAAAATTAATGTGAGGCACTGTGAGTGATTCTTAAAACTTTCTGAGAGAATTTGTAAAAGAGGTGTGTAGGGCATCACCATTGTTACTGTTTCTGATGGAATCCCTTGGAAATTAGTTCTTGACCCTGCACTACTTAATATTTTATTAGTGACCTGGAAGAAAATACAAAATTATCATGAATCAGGATGATAGAAAGATTGAGGTAATTTATGAAGAGGACAAATCACTGATACAGAGTGATCTGGACTTCTTGGTGAGCTGGATGTACCAAGCAATATATGTTCTGATATGGCCAAGAATAAAGTCACATTTTGAAGAATCGGAAAAGTAGGCCACATTCACAAGATAGGAGTTTTCAAGGATTTTAAATTCACCTTAAAAATAGGGATAGAGGAGATAATAATTGATATATCATCTAAAAAGTAGTTTTTCCTTGCCTGGAAAGATTAGTTTTGGACTTCTTATTTAGAGAAGAAACTTCACATCAGAATGAAAAGCTTTTATGTCTTCTGTATTTCCTTCTGGGAATTTTTCCTTTTGTCGGTTGTTTGTTTATAGTGTTCACTGTTCATGAATTGTATTCAAAGATACAGGAGGAAGCAGAGCCATCAAAATTCTTGAAGTATGATGTGGTGTGTTTTATTATTGAAGAGATTCAAGGTGTATTATCTTTTTTGCCCGTGAGGGAAAATATTTAAGGATGACTTGATCTGTTGTTTTGAAGAAAAGAGAAAAATCTGTAATCTCTTCAATAGAGAAGAGAAAAAAGTTTTGAGGGTTGAAGCCAGACAAATTCGCACTTGGAAATATAGTATGGAATTTTAGTGTGGATACTTTACTGTTGAAGGAACTTGTTGAAGTTGGATAGCAACAGAAAAAGTTACTACAATAAATGACTTGATTTAAAGAATTGCTATAATTTCTGTGCAGTTCCTGTGCCTGGAAGGAGTAATTCACTCAGAGCAGTCACGCGGTCTGTGTTGCATAGCCCATCAGACAGACTGAGGGTGATCACAAGGTCCGCTATTCTAATTGAACAAATGGGCAATTATGAAGTAGTAATAAAACATTTCGTTCTCTGTGCTATTTTTAAAATCGATTGTTGAAGTGAGACCTACAAAGAGACCTCTGAAACTTTTTATAATCAACTGGGTATCTTAGTAGTAACAGTTACAAACTTTATATGCATGCATATGTATATATTATTTTTTAAAAAAGATAACCTTCATGAGACTGTATATAAACTGCTGTATTATCTGTGAACACACTGGCTAAATACACGAAATACTGTAATTTTCATGTCAAAGATGATATTGAGCCGTTCCTTCATTTATTTTTACAGAATTTTACAGACTTTTTAGTGTAGTCTTCCATCTCTACTGAAGAGCTTCCCTGCATCCTGTTTCAAGAAAATGAATGAGCTCTATAAAGAGCTGTTACACTCTTAAGCAAAACACTTTGCTTCAGTTCCTGTTTATTGCAATGAAAATGGCATACAGTGTTTTTTATTTTGTAAAATCCATATTAAAATGTTTATAGCACTTTTGCTAAATTGGAATCTGCAGAAATGGAGTCTTTCCCTCTGTCCCACTAGTGAGGTGAAAAAAAGATGAACTAATGGTTAAATCAGCAAAATAGCAAGTGCTATTCTCGCATGCATGCCAGAGAAATGAGATGAGGGTTTGTTTATATCATTTCCTGAGAAGGCATTAAGAATGCTTCATCAAATTTACCGGACATAACTTGGAGTCAAGCTAACTTTTCTTAATATATTTCTTTGTAACCGTCCTCAAATAGGGTGACAATATCATTTTAACTGTTCAGTGAAATGTGTCAGTATAAAGTAAATCTCAGGGGAGCTTTAAAATTAGAAGAAATGTTACACACGTGAAGCGTAACATTATTCTGTGTTCAAAATGATCTGAAGGAAGATAGCATTTTTTACATAGATATGTGTGTATGTTTATGCATGCCTGGAAGTGATTATTTTAGGAGCACAGAAGAGAATATTAGAAGCAAATATTCAGTGTGTTCTGAGAAACAGAATTATGGGGCTAGCTGTTATACGCATACATATTTCTCTTTTTCGCCATAAAATAAATGATTGACAGCAGTTGTTTCAGTAATGGTGTGCTTATGCTGTCTGTTATAAGGAAGAGAAGTTTGTAAATGAAGGAGAACAGAAAGCATCTTTATTTCTGATTTTAAAAAAGAAATACCAAGGGTTTTTATCATTTTTTTTCTTCACATTTGTCGCTAAGGTAGCCTAAGATGCAATTATCAAATCAAAGATTAAGAAACCTGATTTTTAGACTTGAAGTTCTTTTTAATATTTTGACACAGCTCCATGTGTATTTAAATTTTTAGAGTATGAAAACATTCATACTCACAGCTAAGAGATTGAGAAGATTGAAAGTTGAAAAGGAAAACAGTTAGTAGTTTAATTGTTCTGAAAGGTTTTGTTGTAACAACACAAATAAATCTCAACTAATAGAAGGTTATTTTTCCAAAGGACTTGCTTTAGTTAAATGTGAACTTTGAAAAGACAACCATGTTGGTGCCATTTATTTATTTTGGAATTGCTTTTCATGTGGCCTCTACATTACGGAATTCAGTAATTGATCCTTGTGTTTTGTAAACTGGTTGAAGGTTCAGTAGTTACGATAAACTTAATTCAAGCTGTAAGCTTACAGTTACACAGCTTGGCAAGAACTCCAGAAAGGGGATAAACAGAAGCAATTCTTTAGTGGAGTGGGCAGACAGTGAATGACAGCTCTGTATGATCCTTATGTCTTATACAAGTGGGCATGCTTGTAGTGGACAGTTAACAGAAGTTTCAGGTAAGGGAGCTGAACATGTGGGTTCATACAGACTTTTCATCTTCCTTTAAATATGTACTGCTGTCTATTTCAGGCCACGCATTTTCGGTCTCCACTTCTTCAACAAACAGAAAACCAGGTGTCTTCAGCTACTGCACATCAAGGTCAGCAGGCTGTAACTGATGTCATTCAGCAGCTCCTTGAGTTATCAGAACCAGGTCCTGTAGAGAATAACCAGCCTCAACAACCTGGTCAACAACTGAACATTGCAGTGGGAATCAATAGAGATATTTTGCAGGTAGGAGCTGTGTGTGAGAAGAGCTTTACATTTCAGTGTTTCTTTCCCTTTGTTTTTATGTTAGTGAAATTTGTTCTCAGTATTTTCAGTGACAGCATTCCTTCTGCATTTCTAAATGATTTATCTGTCAAGAAAGAATTGTGAATATCTACTGAACGGCTATGGAGCGCACCAAAATACCTGTTGTATAAGATTACAAAACCAAGGTTATAAATATTGATTACATGACCTAGAAGAAAGCTCTAAGTGTACGCACCTGTACATGGACATTTTATGGATCCTTTTGACTTTTTTTTCCTCCTGTTGCCTAGAAGCAGCTTGTGGCACATCTTTAAGTTATGGTATGCTTAAAACATGATGACATTTAAGAGAGAAAAAATATTTTTATCTGTTTAAGTGTGAGAATGTATATGAGGCCTTTATCCTGTTCTAATTAGTAAAGGCTATTTGAATATTTCCTGTTTGTGCAAGAAAATTCCTTCCTGGTTTGACCAATGTTTTTTCTAAGCCATTATTCTGTCCTTGATATTGGCAGCAGGAGATGCTGTGTAACAGCAGAGATGCAGGGCAGTAATTCAACTATCTGTGCTTGTTCTGCAGCCTCTAACACATAATGGAACAGGACAGAGAATATTCTTTAGTATTGGCCTGCTAACCTTTAAGCTATTTTTTCATCTCTAAAGTACCATTTACATTTCTTTTTTGGAAGACCTGAATGTTACGTGTAACTATACGGAGGTTCACCATATTACCTGTGCTGAGTTCTCTAATGTCTGGAATGTGATGTGTAGTTCCATAAAATTACAACACAAAATATAGCTATTGTCTTGATAGCTATGAAAAAACCAAACCAAAATAGTCTTTGAGATTGGTTCTTTAAGTTATTGTATGAGCATCACTAGCCATATTGTTGTACAAAACAAAAAGTAGTTTCCTTCCAAGCAATCAAATATCTACACACTCCTACTTAAATATGTTTGAGGTCTTTGATCCAGAGCCTTTTCAGTCACAGTAGTGTCCATAAAGGTGCCTATGCTCCAGTCTCTTCCGCATGTACTTGAGTATTATGAGTGCATAGCTCTTGCCTTGGTCGCATAGTTACCAGTGGTTTCTTAACACAGGCTTTTGAGCTTTTCCAAGCCCCTCTTTGGTTTATCATTCTTCCTTTTTCTTTATATCATCTGTGGCTTCTCCACAAGCTGGTGGGCTTCAAATTTGACCTTTTATGGTCTGATGATTCTGTAGAATCTGAAAGGCAGTTGCTGGCATGTGTATTAGTGCAGGAAATCCAACTTAAAGTCTCACAATCAGAAGTCAATGTTGTGTAGAAATGTTCTTGCAAATTTCAGATCCAACTGAAATTCTGGGAGGATAAGACATTTAATTCCTTTAATTATATTTGCATTATATCTTCTAAGTAATTGAGAAAAGTTGGAGCAACTGTGGAATGTTTCTTTCTTAATCTAGAAGTTTTTTGTTCTTTTTTAGCAAGCTTTAGAGAACAGTGGGTTGTCTTCGATTCCTGTCTCCGCACATTCTTCTGACTGTAGCCAGGCTAAGACTCCTGGGGCCCAGGATCAGAATCCAGATGTCCAAACTCTCTCAAATCATCAGGCTGACTCTAATGCAGAACAAGATAAAGAGCAAGAGAGTACAGATAAACTGGATAAAAAAGAAAAAAAAGTTATGAAGAAAAAATCACCGTTTTTACCTGGTAATGTTGCCGCTGCTTGCTACTTTTTGTGCCGTAAGGACATTTGTGAGTGTGTTGATGGCTTTATAAAAGGATTTCCCAAAACTTATTGTGGATCAGTAACAGACTTAATCTACTTTTATAAAACACAGTGTATGTATAAGTTATCCATAGTAGCAATTATAACTTTTGTTACACTGATACTAAAATGTATCAGAATGGCATGAAGTGAAGTTACACTGTTAAATCTTCTGGGTTTAGATCAGTGGAGTTTTTGGAGGAGGACAAAAAAGAAGGAATGTAAGTATTTTCCTCTCTTCCCCATCATCCTTCTCTCAGGAGGATTGGGATTTTATGGTGTGTCCCAGAGCAGAGAGTTTTTGCAAGCTCTACTCTTCCTCTTTGGAAGTGAGGCCTCATAGAGGCGGAAGCGCAGTGCTCCTGCCTTGTGCAGGTCTTCACTGATCTTGACCATGCAGGGAAGGACGAAGGTTGACATTGTGGATAATACTTAATGTCACCTGTGTTTGGAATCTCAGTACTGATTTGATATTGTCACCATAAATGAATGTTAATATTCTATCTCCTCACTATATTGTGTCTGTACAAGTCTGGATTTTGTCTCTGTGCTTAAATGAAACTTTAGTGTTAAGGACACTCAAGCTCTAAGGTTGTTAGAAGTGGTTTGTTCCCAGTATAGCCATAATACTTTAATGGCTAGCCTGGTGGAGACAACTCTATAATAAGCAGTCATTGAGCTCCATGTGTAGGAACTTCATAGATACATTGATGTTGCTTTTTTCTTTGCAAGGGATGCAGAAATTGATCCAAAGTTGAAAAGTGATCTTGTCCAGCATAACTGTGCTAAAAATGAGCATTAACTTTTTCCTCTGGTTGTAGTAACTGTTTTATTCCTTGTATGTGACAGTAACAACTCTCTAACTCTGAGTGCAAATAAAAATAAAAGGTCACTGCTGTACAGTCAAACACAACTGCCTTTATTTTTTGATAAAATAACATAACCTCAGTGTATTCACATGTTTTACAGAAAAAAACACTATGTGAACTGATTTAAACGAGCAAATATGTGATATTGAACAACATATATGAATAAGAAACACTGATAGGATTTAGAAGCTTCTTTTGTCATTTTTGTTGAGAAAAAGTGTACTGTTGCTTTAGGACAGAGCTTAGGGTTCTTGGATCATAAAACAACTTTTGTGAAGAAGTAGACAAATCGTAAATCTTTCAAAAGGACTTTTTATGCAATATTTGCTCCTTTAAAAATTTATAAGTTGTAATTTGAGTCTGAATTTGCAGAAAAGAGGGCCTTATAAAGTATATCATCCAATTAGTTAGATGAGTGTTTAGTACTTAAAATAATTTCATGTGGTTATGGTTGAGAAGTTATATTCATTATTGGATAATTTTGTGTTAGATACGGTATTTATAAGGTAAGTGATATATTATATTGCATGACACCTACATTCCATATTTCTAAGTAGCATACAAATTGCATTCTTTCTGTTCTGTGAAGTCAGACATAGCTTTTTTCTTCCCCTCCTTTTTTTTTTTTTACCTTCTTCCTTTTCAGTAGCATAAAAATGTTGGAATTTCAACAGAATTCTCTTGGGTTTTGTTTTTGTCATTCCAGCCCATTGCTATTTTTGTGAAGTAGAATGTACCTGATAGAGAAGTTAATTGTCTACCAAGTGTGTTGTAATGACATCTATTTGGCAAAATGTTTTATGGGTTTTGATTGCTTTCTATAATGATGTGAATGTAGTGGAATTTTTGAAGAACTGTTGCAGTGTTTCAAACACATTCATTTTGATGTTATTCCTTACTTTAGGTTCTATACGTGAAGAAAATGGAATAAGGTGGCATGTTTGTCCATATTGCTCCAAAGAATTTAAAAAGCCTAGTGATCTAGTGCGTCACATTCGCATTCATACCCATGAGAAGCCGTTCAAGTGTCCGCAGTGTTTCCGCGCCTTTGCCGTTAAGAGTACTCTCACAGCACACATAAAAACACATACTGGCATTAAAGCTTTCAAGTGCCAATTTTGTATGAAATGCTTTTCCACCTCAGGGAGTTTAAAAGTTCACATTCGTCTACATACAGGTAAGGCCTCAAAATTGCTTCTGTGTTTTCTGTCATGCAGATGAGACCTTGAATGAAAAAAGACTACGTGAAGCGCTTAAATTGTAGAGATGTCTATCGTGTCGTTGATATCTGTCAGAGAATGAACTGGGTTTAGTGTCTTATATAATGAACTTAAATTTTTATCAGAACTTTCTAGTGTTTCATGGCTTTGAAACTTTTTTTGGGCTCTAACAAAAGCTGTGGACATTTAGTTTTCTGATGATGAGTCAGCCGTTGCTCCTTTTTAATAGTGCCGTTGTGAGTGTATTTAATTGTTCTTTCTTAAGAGTCATGCTCTTAGAATTTGAGTTCTGATTTTACTTATCCCCAATCATCTTTCATATTTACTCTGCATCTTTTCTTCCCTCCCCTTCCGCACGTGCTTTGGTAGTTTCACTGTATCACTCAGGACTGTTTGGTTACTTCCCGTTTTATCTTCAACAATAAGGTGTTGCTTGGTGTTTTCACCAACTTATCTGTTTTCAATATCTTACACTGCATACCCTAAAATTCCTCTGTTCTTATGATTCTTGTTTAAATCATACATGATGTCTTCAATACCTGTTTTTCTGTGGCTGAACTTCTATCCTCTGCATAGAGAAAAATGAATTTTCCACTTTTGGTGGTCTACCTGGTTGTTTTCCGCTTTTCTTTCTTTGTTCTTGCAGGTAAATAAGCTTTCAGAAAGATAAGCTCATAAACATGCTGCTCTTTCACTCCTGATTTATGTATTTACGTTCTGTGAAAGTATTGTTCATTGACTGTGAGCATTTGTTGTGCGATATGTTTTACAGTCAGATGCCTTTAATCCATGAAATATCAATGTTGGATTCATCTGTAGAAAATTTTTCACTTTGTTTTTTTGTAAACTTGTAAACCAGTATTTTCTTCTGTTACTTTTCTTCTGTTACTTCTTTGTTTACGAAGTCAGACTGATTCAAAGTGGCAAAAGCACTAGGTGGCTTGAAAAATAGGTAGTGTAGTGTTTATGGAACTCCGTCATGTAGTTAGCACGTTTTTTTCCTGTTAGAGATGTTTGCTTCTTCCTCTGTCTAGCAGGTTAGGCTTACTGGGTCAGGTTATAGGTTCATCCAGCCCCGTATGCTGTCTTTTCTGGCAACGTGTGGAAAAGAAGCCTACAGTAATGCTTCTTAGAAGTGTATGACCAACTTCCACTAATCTTTGGGTTGAGGGCTTTATGAAGCAGGCTGTACCTCTGTGCCGAGTAGCACTTTGTAGATCTTTTTGTTCCAAAGAACTTAGCAAATCAATTTTGAACCCATGTCAAATGGATGGAAATAAAATCACAAACTAATTTTTTTTTCATCTTTTACAGGTGTTAGACCTTTTGCTTGTCCTCACTGTGACAAGAAGTTTAGAACATCGGGCCACCGGAAAACTCATATTGCTTCACATTTTAAACATACTGAACTGAGAAAGCTGCGACATCAACGTAAACCTGCAAAAGTTCGAGTAGGAAAGACGAGTGTTCCAGTACCAGACATTCCTTTGCAAGAGCCCATACTCATAACTGATTTAGGTAAAGAGCAAGTAAATCCATGCTCTCTGGAAATTTGGATTTCACTGGAAAATAGAGGTCACAGTTTAATCAGGCAAACACATTCAGAGCTTACTCAGAAAGATGCACTTCAAACTAAGTCATCAGAAATAATCAGGCTTCAGAAAAGTCTCATATTTTATAGTTTACTTGCAGTAGAATTAATAAGAAGAGTAAATTTTTTATTTACAGAGAAATTGTATAATCCTAACCAGAAAAAAACTGTGTGCGTTTTTACATTACATTAGGAGAGGAGTTTAACTGTTGTTAGACTGTTGGTGTAGAAAAGATGACAAGACAGTTCATGACCTAGATTCTTCTTGAAATGATCGTGTTTCTCAAATTGCTTATATTAATGAGTCGGTGTGTTATATGATTTTAATGTTTTTGGTGTAATTGTGACTACAACTGAAGGAGTGGTATCATTAGGGATAACACTCCAAAAAAGGGCAGAAGAATTCTGGAACAAGCTGTAGAGAATTTATACAGTTATTTTAATTATGTTGTAGTAATTGCTATGACATTATGTAAAAACACTTTTTGGAAGAAGGTGAGGTGTTGTACAGCTCATTGTGGGTGCCTCATCCCTAGAGGTGTTCAAGGCCAGGTTAGATGAGGCTTTGGGCAACCTGGTGTAGTGGAGGATGTCCCTGCCCATGGCGGGGGGGTTTGGAACTGGATGATCTTTGAGGTCCCTTCCAACCCTAACCATTCTGTGATTCAAGACAATGTATATTGTTGTCCAGTAGACATCAATGTAGTGGACAAGGCATTTACTCTTTGTTGATGTTTGACTCAGCAGGCTGCTAACTCCTGCTTTGTCTGTTGTGTAATCATCTTTTATGTAGTAGAGTATTATACTGTTAGTATCTTTAGCCTAAAATCTTTATCACTCTTCAAAAATGCTTTTGTTTTCACTGCTTACAAGAATCACTACGCAAGAGCAGAAGTTCTTTTGGTATCAGATATAGGAACTTACATTTTCAGAGTAGCGACAAAACTTAGCTGGCAGCTTCAGATATTCAGATCACACAATAGTTCTTTCATGAGTGAACCCTGGAAACAGGTACAGTCCTATTTCTTGATTTTAAAGAAAAAGCACTTCTATACAATTAAGATCTGTGCAGTGAAGTTCTGTTTTTTTGGGGAAAAAAAAACAAACAACAAAAAGAAATACTGTAAAAGTTTTTTCCTACAGATACTGACAACAGTTGAGCTCCACTGATATTAGAGTGTTCAGTGTGAAAATAGGAAGTTCCACCATTTATCTAGAAGGTGTCATGTTTTTTTTCAACCCACTGACAGTATTTCCACTGTTCCCAGAAAAAAAAAATCTCATTTCTTGTAGAGATGTCAAGAAACTAGTATTGTTGCTCTATATCAATGTTAATCTTTGAGTGGCACTTTTAGTGGAAAAAAATGTTGATATATATTTTGCTTTTTTAAAAAGTCTAAATTAAAAGTCTATAAGAAAATTCTGCAAATTGTTCTCTACCTGTTACAATGTTTGTTTCATTTTATTCCATTACTTGATAAAATTTATTGAGTAGGAATTGCAAAAAATTGTAGTTTTTGTAGCGTGTATTGTGGTTCCAAAAATGGAACTGATGGGATGAAATGCCTTTTTATAGAACTCTGAACTATTTTGCTGACTTGCTGTATCCAGTGTAGAGCCACCCTTAACTATTCTAAGAGTATGGAGAAATGTTTCATATATCCGAGTTGAACAGGTTGAGTAAATAGTTCGCAAGTGTTTTATTAGGAATTTCTGTTATTTCTGTTCTGCTGTGTATCTTATTAGGAATTTCTGTAGTGCTTCTACAGACCAGAACCGTTGTAACCTGGGATACGCTCACAAGTTAGTCAGCTATCATTCAGTAACTGAATTGTTCTGCTATTATATGATCAAAAGTAACTAAGAGTAAATATTTGTCATGTGGAGTTCCTTCTCTTCTAATTTAGAAGACTTGTGTCATCTCCTGAGCACTACTACTAATTATCATCACAGAAAGATGCCAGAAGGAATTTAGAAAGTAGGGTTGTGGTTTTTGTTTCTGTAGGGTTTTTTGGTTGGTTGGTTGGTTGTTTTTTTGGAGGGATGGGGGTTTGCTTTGTTTTGTTATCTTTGTTTTGGTTTTTTGTTTGTTTCATTTTTAAAGAGAAAATGTTTTTACTAGACCAACAGAGTTGGTTGGGGAAAATGAAGTAAGTTTTGACATATATGTATTTATAAAAATATATATAACGTATATATGTAAACTTTTTCAAGTCTGAGACACATAAACTTGTTCTTTTTGCATTGTTGCCATCTCTTCTCAAAATTGTGAGAATTCCCTCTTCTTGTCTTCTGCTCTTTTCAATTACATTTGGAAGTCAACAGAAACCCTCCAGGCTTTCCCTTCTGAATATGAAACACAGCATGCTAGATGAAGCAGTCTGAAGAAAGAAAAGACAGCATAAAAGGCTTTTGCAGTTAATATTTAGGACCGTAAAGGGATCTTTTGCATATTTGTTGAAACTTTACATCACTCCCTCAGCCTCGTGTATTAGTATGGTGACAAGTACTTTTGAGTTCACAGATGAGTGAATGATGATGAGTTTTTCTTCACTTGAGAAGTCTGCTACTGTTCCCATTCTGTCATCATGTTTGGGCTGATGCCCTTCTGTTGGCTGCTTCTGAGACAGAACACTCTTGCATTAGCAGTTGGACATTTAATAGCAGGAACTTTTAACTGGTTTTCCAACACTACACTTGACTCACTTCAGGGAACAGTGCATAAAGGCCGTTTGTTTAAATAAGATAAAGTTTGGGTGTTTGGTTTTTTAATACATTTTTGGAGGTACCCAAAGAATTAACAAGACTGACTGATTAGCCAAAGAAGTTGATGTACAAATACAAGAATTTTTAATGGACTTCTTTTATTCTTTAAGTAAAGGCATATATATATAAGGGTGTTTTGTACTTTTCACAAAATGCATATTAAATATTTGTCAAGTTATTAATGTGTATCTGGGGTACATTGATTAGATGTCATTTGATTAAGATGGAGATTAGAAGAGCAAAATATTACTTGTTTAGCAGTGAATTCATAACTGTCAACTTTTTTTAAAGTTAATGTTTATTTTGGACTATATGAGGCTTAATGTAATGAGGTGGGTCTATGGATAAAAGACGAGCTATCACAGGATAGCGTGTGCAATATAGTATGTATAATGCTAAATAGGTGCAGGCATAATTTTAAATAAGTGCTGAAAACATGCTCATTTTCTTTACATTTTTGCGTACTCAAAACCACACTTTTTTTTCAAGTACTAGCTCTTTAGATTACTGCCATTTTGGAATAACTTGACCAATTAATTTTTCCTTGTTCTGTGTGTTTATGTGTGCAGGTCTTATGCAGCCAATCCCAAGGAATAGCCAGTTCTTCCAAAATTATTTTAACAATTTTGGTAATGATGCAGAGAGACCATACAAATGTTTTTATTGCCATCGAGCCTATAAAAAATCTTGTCATCTTAAACAACATATCAGGTAAAATAAATGCAAAGAAGAAATGAAATGTATGTAATAACAAATTTATAGAAAAGCATGAAACTGTATATGTAGTGCTTGCTGAAAAGACTTCTTTTTTTACTGTCTCTAAGTATTGAACCAGTAATAATTGATTTTTCTGGTAAAGTTGGAGGAAACTTTGGACTAATTCATACGTATGTACAGTCCTAGCAGCAGAAGTGGTTGTATTTAGTGTGCAGTTTTGCTTAATAACACTCGGACTCTTTTTTCCTAAACTATGTAAAGAAAAAAGCATGCATTGCGTGTGAATTCTTATCATAATTTTGTAATTGCATACTCCAGATTATCTGCTTTGTGTGCAACTGCTGTTTTTTGAGAAGGAAATCAGCTTTTTGTTCTGTGTGCCGTTTTCTGTGTATTAAACCTAAAAGAATTTAGGCTTACATTGTAATCAAATATTCTTGGCTTCATTTTTTTTCTTGAAGTTTGGTTCAAGTTCCATATAGTGGGTGTTTGTTACAGCCACAAGGTCATGGGAGTCACAGGAAAACTTTAGGTTGGAGGGGAACCAGTGGAGGTAACTAATCCAACTTTGTTTTCAAAAGAAAGGCTAGCTTCAAAGTTAGATCGGGTTGCAGTTTTACAGTCAGGGAGCTTTGACATTTAGTTGAGTTATCAAAAATCATTCCTTGATTTATAAACCATGAATAACTGGAGGAGAAAATATGAAAAAACCACCAAAGATCATGACTAGGACCTAAGGAAATTTTCCAAACAAGCAGGTGGCAATCTATTTGGTTTTGCAGTGTAAGCTTTGTACCACTTTCTCACTCTCTCTGATTCAGATCATGTTGGTTATGTTCTGCTTACAAATCAAGTTCTGTATTGGTAGGTTCTCAAACTGGCTTGAAACAGTTCTTAGTTTCTATATACTGTCTTAATGGGAGGGAGGAAGTCTTGCAATATCACGTCTTTTTGTAACATCCTACGTAGATTTCTCACTGTCTTTTGTAGACACAATCAAGCTGGATTGATTCAAATCAAAATAATTTTAAATTAGTAAGTGTTGCTGGTCTGCATCATTACCACCTTCATTTTCCTTCATTGAAATAGTTGATTTTAATTGTGTTTCACACTTGTCTATTTTCTGAAAGAGAGTGTAACTGTCAGTGGTTAATTACCATTAAAATGTTAGTTGCCACTAAAGAGGACCTGATCTGCCTAAAGATGGCCTTATTTAGCCTAAACATAAGCTAAATGTATGCATATTTTACTGAAGCATTTGTAGTTTACAGTTTTATTTAGATTCATATTTTTTCATGTTTCATTTGTGTTAGAGAAATGTAGTTGACTGATTTACCTCCTTCATTTTTCTTTTTCACAGTTTGGTCAGGATCCTTTGAATGGAAATTGAAAGTGTTTTAATTACAGAAGAATGTTAACAGCTTACTAGTTAATCGAGTGGCTTACATGTGCTGAATACTCACAGTTTTTTTTTTTCTTGTCAGAATACATTTGTGTTTGAAAATTCTGTTCTTCAAATTCCAGTGCTTGAATTCATTCTGCTGTTGGGTATACACCTACTCCAGCTCAGGATAAACTAGATTTAAAAGCCTCATCACTTACTACGTGCGTCTTTGTTTTTCTTCTCCCATACTGAAAATACAAAGATGTGATGGGGGTAACAATCACTTGCCACTGTGCTTTTTTCTGATTGATCTTTGCAAGAGAGTGCTGAGCGAAGCTTAGCTTAACTTGGCTTTTTTAGGCGTTTTGTAGAGGAGTTGGAAACTTTTCTCTTTTTCCTTTTTTTTTTTTTTGTAAGTTGACATTGTTATACCTAAACTACTAGATTTGACACTTATGTGGTCAGTCTGTCTTCACTGAATGAGGCTCATCATTGCTTAGAAAGCTTGTTTTCCTCTCTGAAACAGAGGGAAATTCGTAGTAAGGGTATTTTCAATATAGCAGTGACTGAATAGTGTGTTATATTCTTCCACAGGCACACCAAGGAAGGGTTGGGATACCCAATCACAGCTTTCCATAGGTGTATATTGATAGCAAAACAGTAATCTTGGTATCAGTCACACTTTATTATGACATCTGATGTAGTGGTCATAGACTTCTAAGGCTACTGTAATCATAAGCCATCCCTAATTTTTCCCAATTGTAATAAATCTTGCTTCCTTTATCTTCCATTTCGTAGCATTCACATTGCCTTCCTCCTAGCTCTCACTCCTGGGTTGCTACAGTCGTAACCCTTAAAGTTCTTGTTGCACTCTGCTCCTTTTCCTAAACTGTCCTTCAGTCTGTTTTATATCTCAGTGTAGTCCTAAAGGGAGACTCCTCCAGCACCTCTGGAAGGAAGGATATAGTGAGTGGGACATGTTGATAGTATAGGTGAGAGATTTTCTGCACTGGAATATTGTTTTCACATAGCAGTCTGAAAGACTAGTTGTGCTGTGCCTTGTTCAGGGCTATTCAAGATGGACATAGTTCTTTTCTGAAAAGTTTCATTATTAAATATAGTAGCAGTTGCTGTTATGAGGAGGACTTTGTACTTGTCTCCAAACTTTTGTGGACATTGTTTTAGCTGAATTGAGGAAAATAACATGTGAATGATTATATACTAGTCTGAAGAACTATTATATTATCTGGCAAGGAAAAATTCAACCCAAATATTTGATTTGAGGCAAAATATGATCAGAAGAGGAGACTGGACTGTAGGACATAATTAAAACTGTCAGACAGTATTGCTTCTAGCCCTGCCAGTGGTGACATGCAGATAGTTTATAATTTATTAAAGCTTTAAATTCTGGATTTTCTTGACTGAGGCCTCTTCCATCCATACAACAGTCATCATAGTTTGCTTTATTTTGCTCATTTTAAAATCTTGTCTTTTAATAACTTCGTAAAACAAACTGTTATATCTACTTTAACTTCTGCTTTCTCTTAAAAAGGTCACATACTGGTGAAAAGCCATTTAAGTGCTCTCAGTGTGGAAGAGGTTTTGTGTCAGCTGGAGTTCTGAAAGCACATATTAGAACACACACTGGATTGAAAGCTTTTAAGTGTCTTATATGCAACGGGGCCTTCACTACTGGTGGTAGCCTCAGGCGACATATGGGAATCCATAATGACCTTCGGCCGTATATGTGTCCATATTGTCAAAAAACATTCAAAACATCACTAAACTGTAAAAAACACATGAAGACTCATAGGTATGTTTACAATTTTTATGTGAATCCTTCAATGTATTTCAGAATCCCTTCCTTAGACATACTTGGAAAGGTAGCTTTGCTCTGTAGCAAGTGCTAGTAGTTGAATAAGGATGTTTATGTTATGTTTTTTCAGTGCTATTAATTGAATAACGTAACAAACACTTTAGTAGCTCTGAAGGTATAGTAAATTATGGTGTATAATAAAATAAAAATTTGTTCTCATGAATAGTTAGGATAACTATCTAACTGAAGCCATAAAAAGACCTTCTTACCGTTCTTTGCAGATATGAACTTGCACAGCAACTTCAGCAGCATCAGCAGTCTGCTTCAATAGATGATTCTACAGTAGATCAGCAGAGCATTCATGTTTCTACACAGATGCAAGTGGAGATTGAAAGTGATGAGCTACAGCAGTCAGAAGCTGTTGCAACAGATCAGCAGGCTATTTTAGAGTTAGACCAGCAGCCAGTAGTAGGCACAGAAGAAACAGCACTAGAACAACAATTGACTGATCAACCTTTAGAGCAAGATGAAGGTGAGTATTTGAAATATGATAAGGTTTATAATAATGTCAGTTTACAAGTTCTCAAATAACTTTTTCATTACAAATTTCAATGATTTGAATTTCAAGATAATGCAAGTCTAGAAAAATGCGTGGAGTAAGCGCTAACTACCCAAAGTATATTGTACAATTTCTTTCATTCATTGGTGTTTAGGTTTACTGTTAAAAATATAAAAAGATTGATTGAGGTTTGCACCATTTAGCTGTATCAAACAAAACTACTAAACAAATAAATAATACTATATGCACAAAGCTATACCACATCACCTTTATTATTAATAAAAAGCACTGCTATATAGTCTACTTAGGAAGTAATACCTGTGTTTTGAGGTGGGAAAATACAGAATATTTCATGTACTTATTCAATTAGTAATAGTGGAACAAAGTATTTTGATTTTGCTTACTTGCTCTGTTTCATGGTGTAATGAGTTAGCAAGTACCACAGAGGAATATAAATAAAGCCTACAATAAGCAAAGATTTAAATACCTATTCAGCTAAAATTTTTTGTTTATTTTTAATGCGGGAAAAATTCAGATGGCTATAAAATGTAGGTTTTGGGGAACAATTGAATTATCCAGTTAATTAAATCTTCTTTTCTTGATATTTTTTTCCTTGTCTTCCTTTCCCCATTTCAGATAGATTTGTGACATCCCAGCATGCTTTACAGGAAAACATCACTCAATTTGAACAACAAGCTATAACACAGCAGCCATTTGATCAACAGGGCTTATCACAAGGTTAGTAATAAATGAAAGTTTTTAACGTGATTTTTTTAAATCTGGCCTTACAGCATAGCTATCATAACGCATTTCGGAAGTTGGCATCCACAGTCAAAGTAACTACAATGCAGAGAACTTGCAAAAGAACTTTTTCTTAAATTACTATTTTGAAACTATATTTAGTAGAATATTTTGACTACCTAAATCTAAATAGATTTTGCTTTATGAGCTGATGTTTAGTCATTACAGTATGGGGTTTATAGTCAGGCATTTCTTTTCTTTCCTTGATTGTGTTTGAAATTGCTGTCGCAGTAGACAGTTCACACTACTTTTCCTGTGCTCATGCTACCTGCTTATAACATGAGATGATCAGAAGCATGGTCTAAGATTTGACTGAGTAGCTGCTGGGTTTCGTTATGGAAAAAGACAGTGCAAAATATAATCACGTAAAAATCATACTTTCACCTGACCACAGCAGTTTCCTTTCTTATTTTATAAAGGTACATAAGTAACAAATTAAGAGGTTGTAAACATTTGGAAACTTCTTTTTTATTTTTTATTTTACCTACAGAATAGCGAGAAATATGCGTAAGGCTTATGTAGCCTGCAGAGAATGACGAAATGACTGTGATCCTTTGCTTTTCACTGCTGGATTTCTTGAGTTGTTGCTTGATATGAAGCTACGAGTTTTGTTCTAGTTTTTGCCTTTTGTTTTTTGTTTATTGTGTTTTTTTTGAGGAGGGGCAGGGTAGGGGATGGAAGGGAGGTATGTTCAAGGGAGTTTCATTTGTTTTGGTTGGGAAGCATACCTCACTGGCTGACCAGCTGATCTCTTCCTCCTTGTTTCTGACTCCAGCAAATAACTCCATGTTTATATAACTGGTAACCAGTAATTGACGTTCTATCTACTTCTCTGTTTTTAATTTCTTTCCCTGTTTAATTGTATAGCGCCTTTTGTAAAAATGTAATTCAATGTGCTAAGTTGCATGATACTGTGAAGAAGTAGTATCATTTGCTGCTGATTTTAGTTCTCTAGGTTGTGCTGCTTTGTATGTAACTGAGAAAAAAAAATTAAAGTCTCCGCCTTTAGTAAACTAGACTGAACCACGTCCTGTTAAAACCCTATGGATTATTTTCATTGGTTGCCTTTAACAGTTTTCCACATAAATGAAAAGAGAATACATAAAAAAGTGCAACCTTGCATTCTGTGTTACTCTCAAGAGTGGTAGTGGGTTTTGTTTCGATTTTTATTGTTCCTTTGAATTTGAAAATCCAATACGTAAACCTTGTTTTGTTATCTTATTTAGACTTCGGTTTCTGTGAATGTGTATCTTCTCCCTTAAATAAATACTGAGTACTGAGTGATTTCTTGGTGAAGGAGGAGACTCTTCTAGATCTCAAAAAACAATTCTTTTATCATCAGAAATCTAGGCTGATCATTGGCACATTATAAAATTGGTACAGAGAATCAAAACGTTTGTGGTGTGGTTTTGTGGTGTTTTTTTTTTTTTTTTAAGTCTCATTTGTATAAGTTGTCTCCTATTCTACTTGGAATCTCATCCACAGATTCCCAACTCTTTGAAGTTTCCTTGAAGATCCTGGAGCCCTTCAAAATTTTTGAATTTCAGGTAGGTAAGCATTTGCGCGGATGCATGCGTTAAATTGGTCGACCCTCTCCCTATGTCTGCATCTGTGCTTCATGCTCCTAATTTCTTTTTCTTATCAGCTAGGTAGAACATTCATGCTTAAAGCACTTAAATCTTTTTTATCGTTGGTGTTTATAGACTGTATTGTTAAAATATTTTGGCTCAGCATTTATAAATAAAACAAGATAGGAGTTTTAAAAAAAATCTTTGGTAGGTTTTTTTTATTTTTTTCTTTTTCCTTTTTTTAAGAAAAACAGAAAATCTTTGCATTTCACAGACGAGGCTGATCTCTAGGTCTGCACAGACCTGTCAGAACTTTTTAATTCTTTCAGGTTTATAATACTTTTACACAATTTCTGCTTTGTTCAGATAGATTTTTTTTCTTGATATGTTCAAGCTTGTAAATAAGTCTAGATCTTGTGAGCGTGCTGCTGTATCATACTCTATTCATTTGAGCTAGATTTGAAGACTGAGAAAAAGGACTTCAGTGTTCTTTGTAGTTTACATATTCAGACGTCTTCATTTGGAGACTTTTTAGTGAGGTCAGAACAACCAATTGGATCTCTTGTCAGAAAATGTCTTTGGGTTATTGATTATCATCTGTCACCAAATGTATTTTCATATAGATTATATCACCTTTTCTTCCTTTAAAGTCTCCCTGTAAGCATGGTAGAATGTTAATAATTCAACTAGTGGTGATAGGAGAGTGATCTTGAAAAACTACAGGAAGTCCAAATACTGTTATTCTGTAGCCCATGGAAATATACCTGTGCCACCAGTCTGCTGTTTTACTCTCCTATGAAGTTGATCTGCAACCTCGGGACTTGGAATTCCGATTCTTTCAGTAACTATTTACGCATTAATTCCAGTCAATACAGTTCAATTGGTTCCATAAGTTGCCTAGGAAGCAAACCTGCAAAATATTTAATTGCTCGTCACTGACCCTTATGGAGATGCACATGTGCATGTAGATGTGTTTGTAATGTTAGAATTCAAATGATCCGTCAGTAAAGACTTCAAGTTTTGTCTTAACTAAAATACTGTATTTGCTATGAACCATCATACTGTTGTTTTCTCATTCTCATGTGCAAGACATATCCTTCCACTAATAAACTCATATCCAGAGTAGTCTATTTTTTCAGTATATTTTGTTAATGTAGGAGAGAATAGGTTGGGTGATGTCCTAAAGCCAAGAAAAAACAAGCAATACCAATGATTACTTGTACTGAAATAACACAAAATCCAATTCCAAGTTTATAGAACTTTGTAGTAAAAGACTCCCGTGTTATACAGAGTTTAAGATGCTCTGTGTTCTTTGCAGATTAAGCAAAATCTATAACAATCTATAACGATGAAAAGAGCAGAAAATAAAGGTTCTGAAATTTATTTTTGTCTCTCAGACCGAACATCTGTCTTTTGATATTTTTTTTTCCCTTTAGCATGCTCAAAATAGTCAGATCTTTTTAAAATTTTGAGTGGAAATTGACCTTCGTATTAGGTATTGAGCAAAATGGGGATGCATCATGTATATTCTTGTTACAGCGTTGGTTTGTATTTATTCCAGAATTACTTTCAGAAGTAGTATTTCTTTCTTCAGTTTGTCGCAAAATACCTCTAAATTCAGAACTCTTCTTACTGAGCATTTTGTTGATTGATCCTGGGAAATTTTTCAGGATGTCAATAATTGTTTTTATTAAAACACTGCGAAGTGAAACAGATCATGGTACAGTAACTTCATTTTTCCTTCTTAGCTAGTAAAAAGTACTTACCAATTATAAAAAAGTGTCAGTTTTTTTAGACAGATGTTTCTTTGTACATTTAATAGTTATGTCCTTTTTTTTTTGTGTTGGCCATGGAAGAGACATCACTTCTGCTTCAGTTTCTTGAGGCCTGTTTTTCTGTGTTCTCATCAAGTGTAGTGGGAATAGCATTTTTCCATAAAGGTGCTTTTAAAATGTATTTGAAAATAGAAATTAGCAGCCCTCTTATTACCATAAAGCTTTGCATCGATGTTCTTCAGGCTAGTTTTTTATTTTTTTTATTTCACTAAGAGTAATTGAGGTGCAAGGTTCAGCTTATTGAATCTTTTTTTCTTGTAATCTCAGTAGTTCTAGGAGAGAAAATAATGTACAAGTTTCAGCATTAGGTTTGGTGTTAAGTTACAACCTGACTAATAATGCTTTCAAGATTTCTTTACATTTGTTAGTTTTCATTCCATGGTGTAAGAAATAGCATACATGTAGGTTTTCTCCTGTATTGATAATGGTGGTATTCTGCTCTGAAAAGTGTCTTTTGGGAAAATTTCTGCTTAAACTTAACACATCCCAGTTTTTTATACACTGTCATTCAAAACGTTCTTTAAGCATTGCTTTTTTGGCCTTTGATGCTGTGATCATCTGATGTGGGTTTGTTTCTACCCTGTTTTCATAATCTTCACCCTTTTTGCCCACTAAAGGCAAACTGCACAGAAATAGTAAAATTGCTGCCCTTACCTTAATTACTAATTCTTGCAGCTTCATTTTTTTCAACAAAACATTGATTTTTTTTTTTTATTTTTTATATATATTAGAAGTATTAAGACTTAGAGGGGTTGATAAAAAGGCATCTCTAATAGCATTAAAAACCCCTGCTACCTGAGCTGTACTTCCCTGGCTTGGAGTTATTGATACAATCATTTCATTCATTCATTTAGAAAAGGAGGTGATAAATTTCTGATATTTCAGAATAACAAAACCGAATAAAAATTTCAGGCCTTTATACCAGATATGTGAATAAAAATATGTGTATTTTTTACTTTGCAGTTTGCCTTTGAGAGGCTCTACTTTACTGTTACCTAAAGAGTGGGAATATGTGGAGGAGATCCAAAGTAGGAGAAAATGGGGTTACTTTATCAGAAACTGGAGTTCTCCTATTGGGTCATCTCCTCCACTCCCCCGCCATCCTCCCCACTGAGCTTTGCATCCTTGTGATCGGCTTCCAGTGTAGTTAAGGGAGCGTGGTACCAACGTGGATAAAGGGAGATGGGTCAACCTGTTTGACACATGCATGCTTACATACAAGAAATTCAAAATTTCAATGGCTCTAAGGTAATTGTCGCACCTCGAAGAAACTTCAAACAGTGTTTTTCTGTGGAGGAGATTTTCCAATAGAATTCCAGCTAATGGTAAGTAGCCCTGTTATGCATATTACGTAGATGCCAGAAACATTTGTGTATTTTGCCACTCAACAGTGAAGAGTATAAAATGAGTATTACTGTGTGGTAATACTGCTTAATCTCTTTTGAAGGTAGTCTTCAGGAAAGTGTGGTGTTATTCAAAGTCCAATTCAGTGTGTTTTCCAGGTTTGTGACTGTTTAATTTCTGACAGGTTTTACAGTGAATGACAGCTACAATCAACAGACTCAATTTCCAGCTGTACAGCAGCTGCAGGATTCAAGCACACTTGAATCTCAGGCTCTTTCAACGAGTTACCATCCACCAGCCCTCCTTCAGGTTCCAAATACAGACACTATTAACGTAGTAAGTACTTCTGGAAGGCAGAATTCATTGTTCTGTGTTCAGCGATGAGTTTCTTTTAGCTGTTTTATTGGCGATTAGGTAAACTTGAGACGTTTGAAAAGTTTCATGATTTCTTTTCTAGATTGCTTATGTTTAACAACTGGAAAATAAAAGGGTTGGGGGAGGATAAGTGCTGTGGCTACAGGTTTCTAAAAAAAATAGTTGTATATTTTGATGCTCTAGGCTTTAAAAAGGATATGATGCTATAAAGTTGGATTGTAAGTCTAAAACTAAGGAAAGGACCTAATGTTATCTTATAATTTGACATTATTGCACTATATTCTGCCCTAGTTCTTTAATTTCTGTAGATATAGATATGATCAAGCAATAAAAATAACATTATAAATGCATAGTGATCATTTATGGAGCTTGCATTTTACAATGTATGATGTTCTTTCATGGCTCTCATCTGGTTAAATTTGTAAAAGAGGTTAATTCCTAAACGTACAATTTAAATATAACTTTTTATGATGATAGCAGTACCTAGCATGAAGACCATCTGTGGTCATGCGCTTACCACTATGATTTGCATGAATTATTGTCCCTTCATACTTGTTTTTAAAGGGCAAATGCCAGTCAGAGAACTGAGGTGGGTTTTAGGATCTGAAAGAGTTTGAGTAATTTAGCCTACAGGCTTTGGAGTTCTCTTCAAATCTTACAACATGCTGTCATTCTCAAGGAGTAGTCTGTGGTGGTTTTTGCTTAGAGGAAGAACCCGTTCAAAAAGAAGTGAAGTCTATCAGCACCACTGTGCATTTTGCTACTCAGTGTAGGGCTTATACTGTTTAAAATGGCTGTTTTGGTATTAAACGTAACCCCTGAAACACCAGAAAATCTATGAGACTCGAGACATGTTTTTGTCTAGGTTCGCAGGGAGATAGATGGAAGTACACCACGTTGTCTGTTTATTCTGATTCAGTAGATGTACATTTTGCTGCTTTCCTTCTCACTGTGAAAGAGCGAGGTATCATATTGCACTCTTAATTTCCTGTCAAAAAATTATGAAAGTGTCATTTTGGTTACTTGTGTTGAGTGTAAGTGCTGTAATCTTTTTTTTGCCTGCTTTTGTGACTTAATTTCAGTGTTGTGTTATTGAAATTTACTGGAAGTTTTGATTTCTAGACTACTCGTTTGATACAAGATCAGACATCACAAGAAGAACTTGAATTGCATACCCAACGGCCTCACTTTCTTGAGGATAACGAAGATCAAAGCAGGCGTTCGTATAGGTTTGTTACACTTTTAGATTGTCATAGAATTTTCTGAATCTTTTATGAATAGTAATTACATGCCACTAATGAAAACAATTTTCTTCTAATAGATGTGAATATTGCAGCAAAGGTTTTAAGAAATCTAGTCACTTGAAACAACATGTACGATCACATACTGGTGAGAAACCTTACAAATGCCAACTCTGTGGCCGTGGCTTTGTTTCCTCAGGAGTTCTTAAGTCACATGAGAAGACTCATACAGGTAACAGAATATGCCAGCTCTATATTAGCTTAACTCACATTTGGGTTTTGTAAATGTCCTATATAAGTAAACTTAAACAAATGGCATGCTACTTATTTGTTTCTGTTACTTTAAGGAGTTAAAGCATTCAGCTGTAGCATTTGCAATACCTCCTTCACAACTAATGGCAGCCTTACGAGGCACATGGCAACTCACATGAGCATGAAGCCTTACAAGTGCCCGTTCTGTGATGAAAGCTTTCGAACAACTGTTCACTGCAAAAAACATATGAAAAAACATCAGGCAGTCTCCTCAGCTGTAGCAGCAGCTACAGAAACAGGAGGAGGAGGTAAATTGTTTCATTTTTACTCTTATAGTCCTTGCTACGAAACAAGTACAAATGTTTCAGTGGATTACATGAATACTATAACAGTAATCTTATAAATTAGCCATCCAGCATGGAAAGTGTCTAATGTCCACAGCCACTGAAGTTTCTCTGTTATGTAAATTGCTTAAAGAAATCAGTTTTCCAGGAGTAGAGCATTTTTTGTCCTAAATTACTTATACCTGTATTTAATTATTGTAAAAATAAGGAATACAGATCAAGCTTTATTTGAAAGAAATGCAGACATGAGTAGTTAGACCCCTGAAAGAGTTTTAAGTCCAAGGACGTAGTGTAGTGGCCATGTGTTTAATAATAAACCCTTCTATTTTTGCAGTTTCAGCTGACAGATCAAACTAAACAGACGTGTGGTTTTGTTTGTTTTGTTTTGTTTTGTTTTTTAATAGTTGCATGTGTTGAAGATGATGATGAAAACTCTGAAAGAACTTCCAGAAAATCTCGTCCTGGTGTCATAACTTTTACAGAAGAAGAAACAGCAGAACTGGCAAAGATTAGGCCTCGAGAAAGTGCCACTGTCTCAGAAAAAGTTCTTGTCCAGTCTGCTGCAGAGAAAGACAGAATTAGTGAGATCAAAGATAAGCAAGCAGAATTGGAAGCAGAGCCCAAATATGCCAACTGTTGTAGCTATTGCCCCAAAAGCTTTAAAAAACCCAGTGATTTAGTCAGGTAAGCAATGGAAAATTTTTATATATTTTCAATTTTCTAGATTCTTCACCAGAAACTTAGCAGTAACAGTTTCATCTAACTTTTTTATGCCTAAGCTAAAGTTTAACTCATATTTGCACACATTTTTCTTTTTCAGAATGGTTTAAACAAAATGTGTCAAAATGTTATGTATTCTAAATACGACTAAACCAGCCTTTTCATATTTCCTGCAGTATTAAAATGATTATTAGGAAATTATTTTTTTTTCTTGCTAGGACTTGCATACAAAAACATGTAAAATCAGTTTGAAAAATGGCAAATGCTTAAATCATCTTTACTAGCTCTGCTTAATGTAATGTTAATATGAGTATTCAATTAATTTTAAAATTAGTAAGATACAAGATTAAATATTTTTACAAACTGACATAAAAGTAGAAATTCACATAGACATGTATTCTGAAATTATTAGGCATGTTCGTATCCATACTGGAGAGAAGCCGTATAAGTGTGACGAATGTGGGAAGAGTTTCACTGTAAAATCCACTCTGGATTGTCATGTTAAAACACACACAGGTCAGTAAGATTTTGAATGTATTTGTTTAGAAACTGGTTACTTTCTTGACAGACTGTTTTAACTAAAGATTTTGCAAGGAAATGGTATGTTTCTCTACGATCTGGAAAATGGCACTGTGAATGCAGCGCTTGGTGAAATTTGGTACTTACTGCGTCATCAAATTAATCATATTACGATATTTTTTATAAACCATATTATTATAGCCCTCTACATCAATAGGCTTATGAAGCAGTCATAGTCTTAGCTCATGGAAAAACTACGTATGTATCTGTAATATTTTAATTTCAAATCTGCTGTAATATTTCAATACTAAATGATTTTACTGAGCAAGAGGATGGAGCTGGAGGATTTTATAAAATTAAGTTAAAAAAGTGATAAACGATGTTTGTGCTGCTGAGTAGATTGAAAGAGTACAAAAAAATTGAGCATTCAGCTATCTGAATCATGTAAGTTGAACGTAAACCTAATTTCTGTAGTATTTAGGTTTCTACAGTAGTTTTTTGTATTCTTAAGAGAGATCTGATTTTAGTTAGTAGTGCTTTTCAACCCACAGTGGCATAGCATGTAGTAGGATAACTGATGTCACATGTTATTTTATTTTTGCCTTCACTGCTTTTCTAATATCCTGTATATGTAACAGTTCTTGTTAACATTTTATTTGGGTAGCCAGCAGTATGGTGTCAGTGTAGAAGAGATAAAACGCTCTTAATTTTACTGTATTTGAAAGAAACGCCAGTCTGGTGTTTGCCATTCCTGGATGACTTCTTTTCTCAGTTTGTGATCATCTTCCCTCCAAGTTTCCCTGTGATCTCTACCTCCTTGTTTTATAGTTTAGACTTACACGTCTTATGTAGACTCCCTGTCTGATAGTTTTGCATTTAATGTGTCTTTTTTTTTTTTTTTCAAATTCTTAGTATTTATATAAAGCCCAAGAGTGAGGTCATAATCTGATTGAATATTTTAATGTCTGTTTAAACAGGACTTCAAATGTTCAGTTTGTTCCACTCTGCTTATTTTTTTGTTTTGCTAACTTTTCTTTCTTTCTCTCTCTCTTTTTTTCCCCCTCCCCCTTTCTCTCAATGAATATTTTTTACTTTAGTGGGAAAAATGTTTTTCTTTGTGGTACTCTGAATATGATAGACTTGCAGCAGCCCAGATCCCCATTGTCTTATTGGTTCATGTTATACCCGAGCTCTTTCTTCTCCGTTACTTGAAAGAATATTGTTGGAATTTTTACTTAATTTTGTTGAACAAAAAGTGACAACAATGTTAGCATTTTATAATCTAAATCTGTAATCTGAAGTAGGTTGAACTGTAATTCGGTAATCTGATGATTCTTCTGTGTAAGTGGAAACTAGAACTCAATAGCAGGAATCTTAGGCACACATTGGTTTTGTGACTTCTTTACCAAATGTAAATGACGAACATCACCTGAATACAGAGTATCAGAATACATTCTGTTCTGGAAGTTGAGTTGACTTTTCTTTCAGATTTGATACAATGGTTTGCCAGGTAAAAATAATAACTTAATCACACTTAATACTACTTCTCCCCCCCTCCTCCAATGTATTTTTCCATCAGAGCTATAGGAAAGTCTTGATTTTGTTCTTTGGTAAGACAGCTGTGCAAAAGACATCGTTTTATTCCCCTTGTTTAGCTAGGAAGCAATATCATACTGGAAGGCCTGGGAATTTCAGGAGTCATAATGGATTTTCAGCTACAGTGGCATGTTTTCTGCTAGATATTTACATTATGCATTTTGTGAATTTTACAATTGCACATATTGTTAAAGACACAAACTTCGTAGTTAACTGTTATTTGTAGTACATTAAAAATTCCATTTGAGACCAAGGATTTTTTTCAAATGTTATGCAATCTGAAAGGAAAGGGAAGAAAGAAGACTGTATGTGTATAGATGAGATTTCTCTACTTCTAGATTACTGGGAGTTGGTTGATATTTTGTTTTAGAATATTATCTCGCAAATTTTATTCTTTTCCTACTTGTAATCCGTTAATACTAGTCAGTATTGAGGTAAAGGCTGAAACGGAAGAATAAAGCTGCTGGAATTAAAAAGGAAATGAGTGACTAAGTAAGGTGAAGAGGCCAAGGTGAAACTTTTAATTCTCCGGTTTTATGAGCTGTGTAGTTCAAACAACTTGATTAGTCAAGAAGGTGAGAGATGATGAGGAGGACAGGGGCATCAAGGTGACCAAATAAGATTCTGCCTGAAAGCTTTAACAGCATATTAAGTTTTAGAAATAGGAAAAAATGAAGATACCCTTAATTGAGATCCTTAATTAATTTGAAAAGCAGCCAAAACTGTAAAGAAAAAGGCTAATTATTTCAAATTTATTCTGTTCAAATGAGTGAAGAATCTGTATTTTTTGGAATTGTTGGTAGAGTACTATTGATTTTTAGAGGTTTTATTACTTACCTCTCTGTTTTTGAAACTTTTCCAGGCCAGAAACTCTTCAGTTGTCACGTATGCAGTAATTCTTTTTCTACAAAAGGGAGTCTAAAAGTCCACATGCGTCTGCATACAGGAGCAAAGCCCTTTAAATGTCCACACTGTGATTTACGGTTTCGTACTTCAGGGCGCAGAAAAACCCACATACAGTGTCATTATAAAACAGAGACAAAGAAAGTTAGGAAGCCGGTCACCCGTACTTCAGCTGAGGGACTACAGCCAGTCAGTCTTCTTAATTCATCCTCAACAGACCCTAATGTTTTCATCATGAATAACTCCGTTTTGACGAGTCAGTTTGATCAAAATTTACTTCAACAAGGACTCGTGGGCCAGGCTATCCTGCCTGCTTCAGTGTCAGGTAAAAATCGATGACTTTTTTGTGGTGGTGTTGAGATCAAGTACTGAACTTTGCTTTCTATTAGAGTTCAGAAAATTATGCCAAACGCTACTTCCAAGCAGGTAAGAGTTGTACCGAATTTATGATTTGATGCATGGTGGTGATATAAATAAAAATGTATTTATTTAAGAATGAAGGAGAAAACATATGCAGCTCACCTAAAAAGATCTCTTCGGTTCTGCTGTAGTGTTACACTGCAAAAAGGAAAAAAATACAGATAAGGAGTATTTTTGGTAATACACTGTTGCCTTTTCTTAAAAAAGAGAGAAGCAAAACAGTTATTGTGTAAGCTTTCACTTCCTTAAGCTTTATTTCATATTCAAGCATTAGATCCTAGAGCAAAGAAAAGCTTGTCTACACTAGTTATTTACATAAATAATGAAGAGGGTGTTTTAAGTGCACATGCTCTGCTGTACATGTGTAGTTAATGGTCCAAAATAGAAAGGAAAAAGAATACCCCAAAAAAACCCACAACCAAAGCCAAACCAAGAAAACACTTTAGAAATACAAAAAAAGTGCTAGAATAGACATGTATGTTGAGTAACTAAATGCTTAGGATCTTAAGTCTTACCAATTGACAGTGGCTACAGCTGCATTCATAGATTCATAGATTTCTAGGTTGGAAAAGACCTTAGAGATCATCGAGTCCAACCATCCCTAATCCCCATTAAACCATATCCTCAAGTAGATCATCCACCCTATTCTTAAATGTGCCACAGACCATTCTTTAACTGAGGCCAACTGGAATGGGATACCCAACATGCTTTGTGTTGCAAGTACAAGACGTTTTGAGAATGATCCTTGCTAACTTCCAAGTTACTTTCAGGAATTGCTGATCTGAGTACTAGCTGGCCTCAGGCAAAGGTAGCACAGGTACATTTTTAAGAACAGAGTAGTGTTCTGGTGTCTGAAAATGTTCCCTGGTACTGGTAAATTTAGTACTTAAATTGTGGGTCTTGGACTGTCTGTCCGCTGCTTCTGAGTGAGACATTGAGTTTCTGTGCTGCTTTGGCACTTTTTTGAGTACCTGTCTATGATTTTGAAGGTGTGCTCACAAATTCACAGTAATGTATCAGTCTCATATTTCATGGTAGTCATTCCAGCTTATCTGATTCAACTAAATTGTTGTCCAGGACCAACAAACTGTTGGTTGTTTGGAAGATACTGGTTAATGCTATTTGACAGGCACCATTTGTGATAAATTTGTGATTAAAAACTGTCTGATGTTTGCTTGGATTTTTGAGTGAACACCGTAAGGAGGAGTCTCTAGCATGTTCAGATGTCCTAGAAAGAGTCAGGAGCCTTCTTAAATAGAGGTCAGTGATTTGCATTTTGCCTGGACCAGGTATTTCTTGGGTGCATTGTAAAGCAGATATATTGTACTAAAGGATTTTGGAGAGGGAGAGAGATGTTTTTAAAGCATCAACCAAAGGAGACTGGTTAATCATACTGAAGGTGTTTGGAGAAGAAGATATGTCAAACAGAAGGTGACTTTTTCCTTATGTTCTCTCAAGGCCTTTTGTAGAGATGATCTATTCAACTTTTGAAATTAGGAGCTTTCTAAATTCTAAAGATTTCGTATTTCAAATGCTACTGTACCTTTTTTTCCATCCACATGAGTACATAGGTTGAACTTTGATACCTTCTTGAACAATGTTTGTGCTGTGCAGAAATGTGACAGTAGCTTTCATGTGTATGCTCACAGTCAGAATGCACATATGTGTGAGTGCTGCTTGTATTTAGGTGTGGCACACTCGGCAAGGAAGTTTATTCCAAATTTCTCCGGGTTACCTGAGATATTCTGGAGCGATTCTTGTTTTGTAAGATGCTAGCTAGTGCTTAAATATTAACAATCCTTAAACTGCATAGAATTTATGAAGCTGTGAAACAGGCAATCATCTGCTTCAGAGTATTTTTCTTGGCATGAATAAATGTGTATGTATGTGTATAGCTTCTGTATTGATTTAATTTTTAAAAATAAACAAGCTTAAAGAGGCAGTCAGTAATGATAAAGAAAAACATTATAATATGGCTGTTTTCTTTGGTAGCTGGAGGTGACTTAACTGTGTCCTTGACAGATGGTAGCTTGGCCACTCTTGAAGGAATACAATTACAACTTGCTGCTAATCTGGTTGGACAAAATGTTCAAATTTCTGGAATAGATGCCACCGGTATTAACAACATAACGTTACAGGTAGGTTGCTCACGGTTTCTTGCTTGTAATGTTATAGAGTCACTTTGAGGGCTGAAGGAGGTTTAATGAGCATACTTACTTGTGGAATGTCCCATGCCAATGCCATGCTGTATCAGTTGTACCATGTTAAGAGATGTAGACAATAGCTGCACAGCTATCCACAATGGTGGTGGCTTTTTTGTGTTCTGGTTTCTTTCAATTTTTCAGGTTTTGTTTTTTAGACCTCTGTGATTTTGGAAGATTGCTTTAAAATCTCTCTTTTTTTCTTTTAATTCCATTTTGTCTTTTCACTTTAAAAGCGTTTTAGGCTAAAGCTCCCCACCCCCTCCCCCAAAAGAAACTCCCTGCAGAAACAAACCAACCCAAATTATTGCATAAAATGTTCTTTTCCTTAACATAAGACACTGGTGTTATTTGGCAAGTTTTTAATTTCTAAACTCACAATTTAAATTCCCATTGAGCTTACAAAATGAATAACAGAAAAAGGTGAGATGATTACATTTAAAAATAGATATTTAAAATCATGTGAAAGAATGGTTTTGATGAATTTGATTGTGTTTGATCAATTTCACAGAATCATTGAGGTTGGGGGAGACCTCTGGAGGTCACCAGGTCCAACCCAAGGGTCAGGGAAGAGTCCTCTTCAGAGTTGCATTGGTCTGCCCAGAGTCTGTCTATGCAAGAAGTTTTTAGCGTAAACTGAAGAAAACTGTATTTTAGTTTTGTTTCCCCAGTCCCCAAACACTCATCCCTAAAAAGTAAAATATCTATTTTTAACTGTTGAGAACAGATGTTTGACTGTGAACTGAGATCTGAAGGAGCCCTAGGAACTGAAAAAATAGATAATCTCTGATATCGGTCTCTGTCTGCTCCATGTCTTTTTGCTTTCAGAGACATGAAGACTGCGATAAGTGTTACATGCAACAGTAAGGCAGTACAGAATGCCAGTATTGTGGGTATCTAGTGCCCAGCGTGCTCATATGGATCTATGATCTTGATTTCCCAAACGTTTTCCTGAGGGAAGAACCTATAGCTGAAGACTGTTTACGTATTGACTTTGGCGACTGGCTGTTTACAGGCACTTAAAAAATAAATTTGAGTTGAAAATGTTTAATTTAAAAGTTTGATATACTCTAGATATCTCTATATGCAACCCTTTGAATTCTACGTTTATGTTAAGACTCTTCACTTAACCCGTATTTGTTAACTTCAAATTGAAAACTTGCTTTTCAGATTGATCCAAGTATTTTACAGCAGACGTTACAGCAGAGTAATTTACTTGCTCAGCAACTAACTGGAGATCCCAGTATGGCTCCGCAGAATCCCTCCCTGCAGGCAACAGAAAATGCAGTGCCGGCTAATGTGGTTATCCAGCCTATATCAGGCCTGTCTTTGCAGCCCACAGTAACGTCTTCCGCCAACATGACAATAGGATCCCTGTCGGAGCAAGAGTCTGTGCTGACAACCAGTGCTAGTGGTAAGCAGTGCCAATAGTGTTACTGTGCTTTGAGTGTCTTAGTTTTAATTACAGTGGTACCCACAGAGAGAAAATCTGCCCTCCGTCCCCAAATAAGCATGCAGTTCTTGTGTCAGCATCTTCAGCAAATTTTACAACTTTGTTTTAATATTTTTGAATGTGATTTTTTCGGAAGGCAGCTATACAATGAAAATATTGAAGAACATTTATACTCTTTAGAAACATGCAGAATCTTTGTTTTGAAGGTCTTAGCCTGCAGAGGAATAAATTGGGTATGAAAACAATTTCTTCTTTAAAGTACAAGTTTTCACATCTTACCGTGGCTGCATCTTTAATAGTAATTTAGAAAGTAATGCATTAATTGCTGTAAAAATTCAATCTATTATAAAGAAAGGATATTAGTGGAATTTTTTTGGTTCTACTCGCTTATATTTAGGTGCACAGGACATCTCTCAAGTTATGACTTCACAGGGTATGGTATCATCTTCAAATGGACAACACGAGATAACGTTGACCATAAATAATTCCAGTTTGAGTCAAGTTCTAGCTCATGCTTCGGGTTCTACTACTACGAGCTCGTCAGGAAGTCCTCAAGAAATCACTCTTACAATATCTGGTTGGTATTTTTAATGATCTTTAATGGTACCAGATCTCCATTTTATAAAGTTACAGTACAGTAGCATTTGAGAATATTTTCACTGTCCACAGCTTTTCTGTGATATTTTTTTTATATTCATCAGCTTTAAAAGGTATTCCCTGAATCTGCTTTTGAAAACCAAATGCATTTGCTTTGAGAATGCATGTTGGATTTGTTCCCTATTTTATTCATAGCGGTGGTTCAACAGATACTTTTCTCAGCGGCAAAGCCCATATGGCCAGTTCTTGTTTTCTCACGGTGCCTCACTTGAGGTAGTGCAACTTCTGGGTAATACTGGGATGGTAACAAGTATAGCAAGCATTGGAGATGAGTTTATTTAATGTAGTTTTGTTTAAATGCCTGTGGAACCGTGTTCCAAAAGATGTTCTGACCATTGTTTAGATACACTGTTCGGTCTTTATAATATGTGGTTAATACTTAAGTTTCTTTTGAAAAAAGTTAGACCAATTTTCTTACTATGTCTTAGAGAGTGATCCTATATACATTATAAATAGCTTTCCACTTCTGCCAAAGACAATTTGTATTTTGTATTACTACATTTCTTTAATAGATCCAGAAAAATATTCAGTGCTTTTCTCTCTTTTCCTTTTTTTTTCTTTTTTTTTGTTTTCTCTTTTTCTATTTTCTGTAATTTTTTGAAGTGTCATGACAGTAATGTCTGTTAAGTTATCATGTTTCCCCACCTGTGTTTTTCCTGCTTGCTAATGGACGTTGCTCATTAAAGAAAATGGAGTATAGCTGTCCAACAACTGATAGAATCTGCTTTCAGTTTCTGTGTTCCATGTTTTTTGACCATTTCACAAAATGAACACTACGTGAAAGTGATATTTTTTCCAAAAGAGGACATGTTCAGTGCAATTCATTTCATATAGTAGAACTGAAAAAAATAATAATCATGTTTTAACCATTAGTCTTTAGTTTACTAGGTTTTATGGTTTCACAGAGGTGATGCCCTAAATCTAACTAAGCAAGATCAGTATTTGTCTTACTAATAAGCACAGGCATTTCTATACATGTTAGTATCTAGATATGCATAATCAAATCTGTAATAAAAACTTGTTGACCCTCTGCATAAAAATCTGCTTAGAAATGAGTTTTTTATTTTGGTTGGTTTTTTTTTCTACTTTTCTTATTTTATGATTATTCGTTTATAGTTCTAGGTACAGTAGCAGAATAATGTTGAGACATTCCAGTTATAATAGAACTTATTTCTGTTCAGGCCAAGATCTTATTCAGCATAATTCTGGAGGCAGTGATCTGAATAGTGGCTTAAGGCTGACAGCACCAACCATCAACAGTCAGACTACAGGTGCTACGTTAACTATAAGCAACGACCAGCTTCTTTCTCAGGGCACTTCACTAAATGCTCCAGGTATGCATACAGTGATTTTTCTAATTAACAATAATAACATTTTGTTAAAAAATAGATGTTAGACTAGGTAACTAATTCTGAAATAGTATAGTCTTGCACATTACAATTCAGGAATTACATGGCTTTGCGTGTTTTCTCGCTAGCCTTAAATTGTTATGCCATTTAAATGAGTTTATTTTAAATTAATTTAATTTAATTAATTTTGTAATTAATTTTCTTTACTCTTATGCATACTTAAAATTTCTCCGTCTTCCTTTTCCTTTCATCTGTCTCCTTTCATAGCTTCCTTTAGTGCTTGTATATGTCTATAAAGCAAGTGTGCTTTAATGTCACACTGAGGGAAGCCTACTCCAGAGTATCCTGTAAGATTTGAATGTTAAGGCATGCTCTTGCGTAGTGAATTAGTAAATGAAATAGTAAAACCAGACAGTTTTGTTGTAACTTCTGTCTCATCTTCTCAGGTTTTTGGAGCTGATCATAACCTGAGAGCCTTGAGGCCTCTAGTCACATGTTGGCAAATCTGTAATAAAATATTGCACAGCTTTTATAGTCTCTGTAGTCTGTATAATCTATAAACTGTTGTGAAATACCTATTAACAATACACTGGCCTTTTTTGCTGTGATGGATTATCAACCATGTTGCAAGGATAAGATGGGAGTGTTGGGTTACAGAGTTTTCAGATTTTTGTTTCACTGCCATGAGTCGAAGTGTATTTCATTGAGAATTCTGAAAGTGGTCAGACTACAGAAATGTGTAACCTGAAACTTCTTCAGGTGTCTTTTTGGCAATGAGTCATCTCCCACATGCCATGTTACAAAGTTATTGCTTTGCATTATGATGTTCATCAAGCTACATTCAGATGTAATTTTTCTATCATCTGACCTCTGATGCTTTTTCACACATGATTAGCTGTTTAACTGATGTATTTGCTTCCAGAATAGAAAGTGAATTAGAAATTACTAAGTTCAATTAAAATAAGTTTGCAGCCAAGAGTTGATCTTTTTTTTCACTGTTTTGCATATATTCCAGAACTTAATACAACAGGTGGAACAAACCTTCCTTCAACAACACCCATATCTCAGTCTACAGTTTCGGCCCAGAATTTGGTAATGTCTTCATCGGGAGTTGGAGGAGATGGTAGTGTCACCTTGACTCTTGCTGACACTCAGGGAATGTTGTCAGGTGGTCTTGATGCAGTTACACTTAATATCACTTCACAGGTAAGCAATGCTTTTCTGAACTGACAGATAATGTTTCTGTCTCACAGGGCAGGAATTGGAGATTTTGCTTAGAAAATAATTTTGCTCTGTATTTGAAAATTCAGTAATTCAGTTAACTTTCCTTCTTTCTGCCAACAGTGTGTGCAGACTGACATCTAGAAGCATAAAATATTTAAACAGAAATACGGATAAATATTGCAGGATTTTTTTTTTGCAATGAACAGATAAGTTCTACTGTTTCAAACATTGTTTGAGATAAGTTTTTAGTGATAAACTAAACTATGTACTTCATCATTATTCAGTAGTATATCTTAGCATTCCTAAACTTTTTATTGTTTAATTTGGTAAACTCGTATTTTACTTCTTGTGAACATGAGAGTTGAAGAGCCGTTGCGACAGTTTCTTTCACGACAAATATCAGGACAGAATCTAAATTAAATTGACTGTCCTTAATAACAGGTAGTGTTATAAGAAATGTTATAAGGATAGTGCTGTATGCACTATCATATAAGGCCTATAGAGGCCATGAGAAGGCCTATAGAGGGTGGAAAAAAGGACAGGTAGCCTGGAAAGAATACGGAGCAATTGTCTGAGCAACCAGAGATCAGGTTAGGAAAGCTAAAGCCCTGATAGAGTTAAATCTGGCCAGGAACATCAAGGACAACAAGAAAAACTTCTATATGTCAGTGATAAAAAGAGATCTAGGGAAAATGTAGGCCCTCTCCAGAAGGAAACGGGGGACCTGGCTACCTAGGATATGGAGAAGGCTGAGGTTTTCAATGGCTTCTTTGCCTCAGTCTTCACTGGCAAGAGCCCCAGCTGCACAGCCCGAGTCACAGAAGGCAAAGGCAGGGACTGTGAGAATGAAGAACCGCCCACTGTAGAAGGTCAGGTTCGAGACCATCTAAAGAACCTGAAGGTGGACAAATCCATGGGACCTGATGAGGTACATCCACAGGTCCTGACGGAACTGGCAGATGAAGTTGCTAAGCCACTATCCATCATATTTCAGAAGTCATCACAATCTGGTGAAGTTCCCAATGACTGGAAAAGGGGAAACATAGCCCCCATTTTTAAAAAGGGAAAAAAAGAAGACCCAGGGAACTGCAGGCCAGTCAGTCTCACCTCTGTGCCTGGCAAGATCATGGAGCAGATCCTCTTGACGACTATGCTAAGGCACATGGAAAATAAGGAGGTGATTGGTGACAGCCAACATGGCTTCACTAAGGGCAAATCCTGCCTGACTAATTTGGTGGTCTTCTATGATGGGGTTACAGCATTGATGGATAGGGGAAGAGCAACTGACATCATGTACCTGGACTTATCCAAAGCACTTGATACTGTCCCACACGACATCCTTGTCTCTAAACTGGAAAGACATGGTTTTGATGGATGGACCACTTCACGGATAAGGAATTGGCTGGATGGTCGCTCTCAAAGAGTTGTGGTCAACGGTTCAATGTCCAAGTGGAGGCCTGTGACGAGTGGTGTTCCTCGGGTCAGGACTGGGGCCGGTGCTATTTAACATCTTTGTTGGAGACATGGACAGTGAGATCGAGTGCACCCTGAGCAAGTTTGTAGATGACACCAAGTTGTGTGGTGTTGTGGACATGCTGAAGGGAAGGGATGCCATCCAGAGGGACCTCGACAGGCTGGAGAGGTGGGCCTGTGAGAACCTAATGAAGTTCAACAAGGCCAAGTGCAAGGTCCTGCACATGGGTCAGGGCAATCCCAAGCACAAGTACAGACTGTGCGGAGAATGGATTGAGAGCAGCCCTGAGGAAAAGGACTTGGGAGTGCTGGTGAATGAGAAGGTCAACATGAGCCGGCAATGTGCACTGGCAGCCCAGAAAGCCAACCGTATCCTGGGCTGTATCAAAAGGAGCGTGGCCAGCAGGTCGAGGGAGGTCATTCTGCCACTCTGCTCTCATGAGACCCCACCTGGAATACTGCGTTCAGCTCTGGAGTCCCCAACACAAGAAGGACATGGAGCTGCTGGAGCGGGTCCAGAGGAGGGCCATGAAGATGACCTGAGGGCTGGAACATCTTTGCTATTAGGACAGGCTGAGAGAGTTGGGGCTGTTCAGCCTGGAGAAGAGAAGGCTCTGGGGTTATCGTATCACAGCCTTCCAGTACTTAAAAGGGGCCTACAGGAAAGCTAGAGAGGGACTTTTTACAAGGACATGTAGTGACAGGACAAGGGGCAATGGATTTAAACTGAAAGAGGACAGATTTAGATTAGATATAAGGAAGAAATTTTTCACTCAGAGGGTGGTGAGGCAGTGGAACAGGTTGTTCAGAGAAGTTGTAGATGCCCCATCCCTGGAAGTGTTCAAGGCCAGGTTGGATGAGGCTTTGGGCAACCTAGTGTAGTGAGGGTTTCCCTGCCCATGGCAGTGGGATTGGAACTAGATGATCTTTGAGGTCCCTTCCAACCCAAACCATTCTATGATTCTGTATCTCAGTAGCTTTAGCATTAGTTTGATTTTTATCGTAAGTTTTTCTTGTGGTGTCATCAAGAGCCAAATATGTGTTGGCAAAATGGAATGTATAGGCCAGAGAAAAAAAATAAAAACAATCAATAAATAATATTAAAAGACCAGAAATCGAAAATTTAGAGTCATTGTGTGGTTGGCATTTCAGTGTAGGTTTAGCATCTGAAAACTTGGGCTGTTTCTTCTTCTTTCTTGGCTGAACTAGGTTTAGATTGTTTTTTTACTTACTCATTGACCCAAATTAAAATGTGTAAATGTGTATAAATGAAAGACTGTTTATCTAGCATATGATGTGATTAAACCTGGTGAAGCAAAGTCTGTGAGGATGATTATATGCTTCCCTCTTTGCAGTTTTGCTCTGGGGAGGGGAAGAAAAGACTTCTTAAATAGTTCTTGTGACACATTAGTGATTTCTGGCATCACAGAGTAACAAAGCAACTTGTGGTTTCATTTCAGATTTTGTCATAATTTAAGCAGTTCCATTTGGCAATGTTGATGTTTATTAATCAGATATTATGCCTGATGTTCAGGCAGGCATAAACAAAAATGAAACATTGTTTTGGGTACTATGCAAATACTGTCTATGTTGCAGGAGTCTTGATAAATAGACAGGTAGTACTTAAAGGTACTGTGTTTCCTGGGGAAATTGAGAAGTTTTTAACAGTAATGTAGAAATAGAAGAAGTAGTGTGATATTCATAGTTGTGTATCTTCATTAGTAATTTTGTACCTTCATTTAATGTATTTTTGAAAGTAGGTTTAATTAAGATATTCAAAAAAAGTAAAATATTGTGGGAGGATGATGCAGGAAAGCACAATAGAGGGGTTAAATAAAGTATCAGCTAAAGAGGCGGACAAGGGAAGGCTGAGACATTCAGCAATTGATGCAAGGCTGGGAAAAAAAAAATTAATAAGAACTGAATCTCTGCTCTTATAGACTTCCAACTGTTGTTACCTGTAAATTGGTAGAATTAGAATGGAAGAAGAAAAGGAGAAAAAACAGTAGTATTTGTTCAGATAGCATTTTGGAATGGACTTTTTCAAGTGAAAAAAAAAAACAAACATAGGTTTGAGGTACAAAAATAATTTACATGACTACAGTTAGCTGTTTAAATATAGTTATTGTACCTTTTTTCTTTTCTCTCGTCTTTGACAGGGTCAGCAGTTCCCTGCCATACTCACAGATTCCAGTCTTGCTAGCCAAAGTGGGTCAGGCTCACAGCAAGTCATACTGGTGAGCCATACGCCCCATTCAACAGCTGCAAACTCTGATGAAATAACATATCAGGTAGCTATAATATATTTCTGTATCTTTTGTGGGTAAAGGACGTTATTTAATCAAAATACTGGAATGATTCCTCTATATCCTGAAGCAGGAAGGCTGGTGTCATTTCCAAATGAGAGTATTGGGAAGAGGTTCACTGTGACTTTCTAGTCACTCAGATTCTGTTTTAAGTTTTGAGTTAAAAACACTTCATATACAAAAAAGAAATGCAATTAATAATGTGTTTCTTTCTACAAATTACATAACCATGCTCTCAACACAGACTGCTCCAAAAATTTCCAAGTAAGTTTGTAATTAGATAATAAAAATAGACGAAGTTGAGAGCCATGGAAAAAAAGAAGCATCTATCGCTAAATCTTTTCCATTTTCTTTTTGTAACTAAATTGCTTTAACAGTGGAGCAACATAAAGTCTTTTCAACTTCTTATGTACTTGAATTTCAATAGAAACTTTTACATATGTAATACAGTTTTAATATTAGAAGAAGTAGTTCAGACTTCTCTTGTTGAAGGCAAAATGAATATTTTCAACCAACCTGGTAATGCAAGCTCTGAAATAGGAAAAAATGGGAGAGGCAGATGGTGATCCACAATCAAGTGAAGAAGTGTTGGACTGGATTGGCAAGCAGAGGGCAAGATGTGGACAAGCTGTGACTGATATGGGCAAGAGAAGCCTCAAAAATAAGGGCTGAAGGGAAGGGGCCTACCTCAAGTGTATGTGTACAAACAAGGGTGCCGAGACGACGACATAATAGAGCAAACTTCACACTCTTCTTGGAAAAATTTTCACAACCGTGTGCCTCTGAAGTGCCTGTATACTGATACGTGCAGCATGGGGAGCAAACAGGAGGAATTCAAGGTCTGCATGCAGTTGCAGGGCTGCCATCTCATTGGAATCAGAGAGAAAATCCCTCTGAAAATAGAGTCCGCAATGAATAAATTAAACAGATAGAAAATATTCTTCTCCTCTGTAAAATCAGAGATACTTTATTTTCTGTCTGAAATGGTTTTGGTTTTGAATTTTGTTCAGTGAGAAATATGAGAATCATCTCAGGAATGTAAAACTGAATATAGGAAAATATTGATACAAACACAAAACACATTCTATTATAATGCATAAATGAATTTGATCATAGTTATTATAATCTTTCTGTTTTCTTAAAATACATATATGTGTCATTCTTCAGAGTGATGAAATGCAAGTTCATATTTGCATACAACTTATTTATTTTCTTAGTGTTAGTAAATTGCTAGCAAGTACTCTCCAGAAATTGGTCATGTTGAGGTAGATTTTGAAAAATAAACCACTGTTGTGAATATGCCTATGAAATTGTTTGACAGTGATTTTGTAAATTGTTACAGGTGACAGAAGTTTCTCCTAATGTGACTAAAAGCAGTCAAGCAGAAAAGGAAGGTCGTGTGCACCAGTGTTTTGAATGTAGTCAAACCTTTTCTTCAGCCACCATGTTGATGCACCATAGCAAAGAGGTTCATGGCAAGGAAAGAATACATGTTTGCCATGTCTGCAATAAAGCCTTTAAGCGAGCAACACATCTTAAGGTATTTGGTAGTAACAGTTGATTGTTCCGTTAACTCATTCTTTTGTTTTGGGCTTTTGGCAATATTAATGAAAGGCATATATTATCCCTTTACTTTTCCTTTCCTTTTAGAGTGCGAGAGGTGTGCATCTGAGAGAGGGAATCTAAGTAATAATGTATTCACAGATAGGGAACTCTTTCCTAGAGCATGGAGAGGATTTTAATGCATGTATTGACTACAGAATGAAAAATGCAAATGCCTGTCATGCAAATAATAGTGCCAGAAAAAGCTTTCATTTATTTGCTCATGTGTGTCATCACTGCTAATCCTGATTTCCAGATAAGCTTTTGAAATCATAGGAAGATATCCACATTACACTCTGTCATTTGATTTTTAGATGCTCTGTTTTATGAGTACAAGTGACATCTACACAGGAAACATTTGTTTTAAAATATCCTTATATTATTACTGTTGTCTAGTGATATTTTCTATGTAGTTTTCTCTAGATTATGAACACCTGATACTTCCAAGTATTTTCAAAAAAATTAGTGGTGTGTTTAAGTTTTTAATCAGATTATAGAATGTTCCTGTTAGGAATACTAGGCTGTACTAGACAAGTGGTATGTCCAGGCCAATATCCTATCTCTGAGAGGTACTAAAAGGCAGTGATTTGAAGGAGTGCTTTAAAAAAGAGCAAACATATAATATAACTTGCCCAGAATTTTGCCAGCTTCCCAGAATTTATAGCAAGAAATTTCTGGAGCCAGAGGCAATGTCTTTATATTAAGTAGCTCTCAGGAGAGCTTTTCAATAGATTTCTTTTCACTTTAGTATCATATTTTTAGGAAATATACCCTGTTTGTGGCTATTGCTGTAAAAGGCAATAAAAAATATTTCTATCAATACATTAACAACAAAAAGAGGGCTAAGGAGAGTCTCCATCCTTTAATGGATGCGAGGGGAAGCATAGTGACAAAGGATGAGGAAAAGCCCAAGGTAATTAATGCCTTCTTCGCCTCCGTTTTTAATAATAAGATCAATTGTTCTCTGCTTACCCAGCCCCCTGAGCTGGAAGACAGGGACAGGGAGCAGAATTAATCCCCCATAATCTGAGGAGAAATAGTTAGTGACCTGGTACACCACTTAGACACACACAAGTCTGTGGGTCCGGATAGGATCCACCCAAGGGTACTGAGGGAGCTGGCAGAAGTGCTTACCAAGCCGCTCTCCGTCATTTATCAGCAGTCCTGGCTAACCACAGAGGTCAGAGTTGATTAGAAGTTAGCAAATGTGACACCCATCTACAAGAAAGACTGGAAGGAGGATCCAGGGTACTACGGGCTTATCAGTCTGGCCTCGGTGCTGAGGAAGGTTGTGGAACAAACCATCTTGAGTGCCATACATGGCATGCATAGGACAACCAAATGATCCGGCCAGTCAGCATGGCTTTATGAAAGGCAGGTCCTGCTCGACTACCCTGATCTCATCCTATGACAGTGGGACCCACTTGGTGGGTGAGGGAAAGGCTGTGGATGTAGACTACCTAGTCTTTAGTAAAGCCTTTGACACTGTTTGCTGCAGGATCCTCCTGAAGAAACTGGCTGCTCATGGCTTGGACAAGTGTACTCTTCGCTGGGTGAAAACCTGGCTGGATGGCCAGGCCCAAAGAGTTGTGATGAATGGAGTTAAATCCAGTTGGTGGCCGGTCACAGGTGGTGTTCCCCAGGGCTCAGTATTGGGGCCAGTTCTGTTTAATGTCTTTATCAATGATCTGGATGAGAGGATCGAGTGCACCCTCAGTACGTCTGCAGTTTGTTTTTATTGCCATACTTTCAGAGGCAGTGAGAATTAACATTTCAAGAGAGGTGGGGCAGAAGAGTTGCATACCACTGCATGAGGAGGGGGTAAAGAGACCTTTCAAAGGTTTCCTATTCTTATTTTCTAGTTAGATAATGCTTATTTGGGACCCCAGGATATTCCGTATCTGAAAAATATGAGAATTACACAAATAAACTTGTAAAAACATCATACGAACAATATGAACAAATAAATACTAAGTATGTCTGTACGAAGTGCTTGTGCTTCAGAGCATTGTATTCCCATGAACTATTTTCAAAAACATATATTTTACAGGAAAAGTATAAGAGATCAGCAGATCAGTGGAACAAAATTGCATCACAGACTGTTTCTTATGAGAAAATTGATAGAGAAAATTGTATGGTAGCTGTCTGGATGCTCTCCTGTTTGCTTTCAAGTTGAAAATGGGGGAGGGAGGGGCTGTTGGGGTTTTTTGGCATTGTTTTGGGTTGATTTTTTTTTTTTTTTTTTGATGATGGACAGAAAGCAGCAGCCAGTTTCAGGTAATTTTTCTGAAGTAGGTCATAGCCTGCTTCCACCCTTTCAGTGCTTCAGGAGGTAATGAGCAAGAAAAGCAAAAGATTTTCTTCATCTCCAACTAAGCTGTGGTTTATGAATCTCCTGTGATTTTGTGGGAAGACCTTTTATTATTTCTCCATAATACTATATTATTATAATTACTATGGTAATGATATTCTTCCCTGTAACTGTCTCACTGATTTTGGAGTGAAAACAAATTCTGCAGACGCAATTTGCTTCAGTTCATGGAGTGAGGAATAGGACCTCATAGACATCAAGAAGGCTTATTGTTTAGGTGTAGTAAAGACTAATTAGTAGTCTTTAGTCTGTAATGAATAGACTAGAAAAGAATGTCCACGCACATTTTAGAAAGTGGACAAGTACTCACAATACTGTTTCACGTACAGTTCTTGAATAGATTTTTTAAATTAAATACATTTGTATTTGGTTTCTTTTGTTATCTGAATTTTGTCTTGGTGTTAATAAAGAGATTTAAATGAAAAAGTTAATAGGTAACGTAAGATACTCCTTTCAATTTGCAAAACTCCTGGGCCCAGCATCGGTAGATTAAAAACACTGAAGTTAGAACTATTTTTAATGTTTCTTCATAAAAATAAAATGTGTCATGGCCTCATTCTGCTTTCTTACTTATAAGGACCTTTGTGATTTTTTTTTTTTTTTTTAGTTAGTTTAAGAGTTCATTGTCAAGTGGTTCTGTTTGCACATTGATATTGTGCAGCTGCGTGTGTCTATGCTGTGATAGTCCCCTCTTTGAGGCCTGTACAGTTTTACAGTGATACTTACTCAGGTGCCAAGTAGGAATACCTCCATATCAGGCAAGGCAGAGAGATGGATACTGTAGAGAGGAGGGGGAAAAAAACACTATTAACTTGCAATGCACAGTTGTCCAAAATCCATGTTTGTAAGGGAACAAAACATTTCTAAAGCTCTGGTGTTTTAGGTTTTTTTAGTTTGGTTTTTTTTTTTTATTTTGTTTCAGGTAATTAGTGAAGGGACTACTGTATGCAAAAAAAAAAAAAGTGCCATGCATACAGTTATTGACAGGTTTTCAGAAATGTAAAGACAGTGATGCATCACCTTTACAAAGAGTTGATATACAAAAATGATCTCTAGTTAAAAGAAAAAAAAAAGCAGACTTCCATCTTCTTCTAGCTTGTCTGCAGTTGACAAAGATCCTCTACTTTCATCTTCGAAGTGTGAATATATTTCTATGCTAAGTACTGAAGTTTTTTAAAATGGTCTGAAATGTGATTTTTTTCTATGCTGTCTTAGGAACACATGCAAACCCATCAGGCTGGACCTTCCCTGAGTTCCCAGAAGCCTAGAGTGTTTAAGTGTGATACTTGTGAAAAAGCTTTTGCTAAGCCAAGTCAGCTGGAAAGACATTGCCGCATTCACACAGGTAACATCAGGAATGATTTTTATCTTGCAAGATTTTTCTCATGAATGTATGGGTGTTATAATTGGAGTCCTTTCTCGTGGTTTCAGGTAACTGCATTTAAATATCAACTTAAGCTTAAAAAAAACAGGTACATTTCTAACCCAAAGAATCTAGAAATTAAAATGAGAAACAGCAAACTTGACATCTCAGAAACTCTGATGTTTTGTTTAAAGCCAGAACATCATGTTTAGGGGTGTGACTAAGATGCTCTGTATTTTGGGACTGGCAGTACTGCAGTGGTAATGTGAATGCAGGAGCTTGTATCTAGAAGTTTGTCAGTCTTTGAAACAGATTAATAAAAGCATCTTTTAAAGCATTGTTTAAAGTGGTGTAAAGACACCAGATATGATCTTCTGCAAGCATATAGGAGAACGTGCAAATGAGTGGGTGTGCTTAGTGACATTAAATAAGGGGCTGTCTTGACTGCTGATTCTGACTGCTGTATGCAGTGCTTCTTGGTCATTGAACTACTGCTCAGTTCATCTGTTTCTAATGCCAGTGCTTTTAATTTGTTTTGTTCTTTTCTGCTTAATTATTTTCTTCAACCGTTGCTCTATAAATATAAAGACTATACTAACTTCTCCTAGGGAGAACACATTTCTGTGAGAAAAGTGCTTTTCAGGTTGCAGCTTCTGCCCTGCTACAAGTTGAAAGCTGTACACAGGATAGCTCAACTGCCTTCCCCTTCCCCTCCTGTGTGGTAACAGTGTTCTTAAGAACACGAGTTCTAAATATATAGGAGTCAATTCTCCAAAACAACTTCTCTCTTTTCGATACCGCTGCTGCCAATAAAGAGCAGTCATGGCTGCCAGGTTTAAAAAAGGAAAGAGGAAAGTTATTTTTTATGCTACTAAGCTGGAGGGGACCAAGGAATTTGACTGGATGTGCCGTAGCGCAAGAAGACTCCCAAAAAAGGGTAACTTTCTTTTTCAGTGAGTCAGGCAGAACTTTCTCTTTCCCCAGTATTAACTTCTGTTACGTAACTTTTGGCTGCTCCTCATGCATTTAAAGCAAAGTTCCTAATCTCTTCCTTTAGCTTTTACCTTGTTAACCCTGTCATTTTTCCTTGGTTTGTATCACTAGCCGGTCTTGTGACATATGGTTTGAGTTTCATTTTGAATGGATCTTCACTTTGCACCCTCAGATTTAGTCTTGCAGGTTTTAATATTGCATCTTTGAAGTATAAACTTGCCCATATATCCCAGTGTCTTGTGCATGCTCTCATTTAATACATCAAAACTTTCATTTCTCTGACTTTTGACAAATGCGATCTTATATAAACACACACCCATACACACGCATTCTACCATGCTGTTCCAAATGTTTGGGAGGGTTATAAATATTTATTCAGTAGCATCTTTGAATTCTTTTTATGTGTCTGTATGACATCTGATAGGCTGTTGGTGTCTTGACACCACTGCCAGTATTGATAATTTACATTATTTTAATGTGTCCCTATATTCTTGTTAATTTCTTTTATGTTATATTTATGGCAAGCTCTTAGAGGTAGGATTTGTCTCTTTGGTCTTTTTTCATGAAGCACTTAATATGGTGGAGTTTCAGTCTGTGTCTAAGGCTATGTACTGTGATGTTATCAATAATAAATGATAAAAGTGTTTCCTCAAGACAGGCAGAGGAAAAAAAAAAGTAAAGTAGATGAAACTGAAAACACGTTAAGATTGCCGCAGTCTAGGAAACTGCTTTAACGTGCCATACAGCAGTGACAATGTAGAAGAGCCATTGTTAGATGATGCGTGACTGTCTTCCATCAGGGTTACATTAACTCATACTTACTGTTTCACATAAGCAGTTACTGAGACATATCTGTGCTTTCTTTCTGGCTTCTGCAGTACATCATGAGGCTTGCAAAGAAATTAATGTAGTCTGGTACTTGTTTACCATGGGATAAAAAGATGAATCGGAGAATAATTTTTCAGTGATTCCAAATGTTTGTGGATGAATTAGATCTGGCCAATACAATATGCAGCCTCCTGTGGCATTTTTTAATTTGTTCTGGTAAAATAAATTTGGCTCGTTTCGGCTGCCTAATTCAGCATGTAGTTCATACACTATCAAAGGTGAAGTGGGGGGGCAGTAATTGCAAGTGCTGTTGCACCTTGTTTACACGTGAGTGTTGAGCTTTTTTGGGGTGTTAAGGTTTGCTAGGCAGCTGAGAGCCAGAGAGGTCCCAGGCGCTGGCCCTGACTATTTTTCACGTTTCATTCAGTTGCTGAGAACTCTCTAGCTGAAAGGATAAGAGGGTGGCTAGAGAGGATTCATCAACTTGTTGAATTTATGGTTTGAGTCCTACTGCTAAGAAAATTCTGAGATTTGGAAATCCTAAGAGAATGTTTAGAGATATTGCAATGGGAAGGCATGGATAGATAGGGGAGGTACTGGGCATAAAAAGCAGATGAAGAACACGGATGATCATTGAGCTGGGAAGGGATGATATCCTTATGTATCAAGTTGTGAAATACTGCGGTGTGGGTGATATGTATTGGTTATGGCAACTAGAGATTATCTTAACAGGAGGGGAAGTTTTCAGTGCAAGTGTGGTAGGATAGACTTTAATATTAGTGGGCTGGGTCATCCCACTTTCAGCAAAACTTAACTTCTGGTACATAAGCAATAACTATTGATAAAGGTAATGGGTATTTGCAGCCATTTGTCAGCTAGCAGCATTCGTCACTAATCAATTGCTACTAGTTGCAATTACTGTACTATGGGTGTGTATAAGCATGTTTTATAAGGGATGTTCCTACCAACTGGTTGAAGGTGGTTTCTCATCTGGATATGGGAGGAAACTTTGACCTGATCTGCTAGAGCTGGTTTTATGTGTTAGGGGTGTCTGCTGACCCTTTGTATTCTAATCTAATGGGCTGGCTGCTTATGCTTCTCTTCCCTCCACCCCCTGCTCCAAGAGAAATGCTGGTGACTGCTCTTCCTGACAATAAAATTAAAGAAGGGGAGCAGAGCTGCTTTGTGGTTACTGTGGTAGAAAGGAACGTTCTGGTTATACTGGGGCAGGAAAAGAGAGGCAGGAGTTACAATCCAATGAGATTAAAAGTCTAGAATTCCCCAATAATTTGCTTTCTGCATAACTGACTTAAATAATACAGACTTTGAAAAAAGGCAATATTCTAGTTAAGAGTTTCACAAAATAATCTGAAAGCAGGAAAGGCAACCAGCTTCCCTTTTCCCTGCTTTGATTCCTGCTCCCTATTGTAATGGACATGGAACACTTCAGGAAGGCTGGGAACAGAGCAGAGTCCCTTTATGCATCTGTTTCTCATAAATCTGCACCATCATAGGAAAAATTCTTTCTGTTTTGGAATGGCTTGTAATTTACTCAGTAAATCCTCAGATATTTTGGGGTTTCTTGTACTTGGGTGCTCATGTGTTAGGAATGCCTACAAACTGTAACAATCCTTGCTAAATTCATTTTTATATAACTATTGTCTGATGTTGTTGAAACAACAAATCAATCCTCATGATAGTCATTCTTTCAGAAGGGAACGTTCTTTTAAAAATCCCTTAAGACCAAAAGAGTAAAACTGCTGCACAGAAGTTTTTAGATGGCTGCTCTTACATAAACTATGATAGGAAAGATTAATATAAGTCTAAACTGATTTGCTTTCCTAAAGGTATGATCCTTGTCTGTGAGAAAGTGTTTGTGATTTCTATCTTGATTAACAATTTCTACTGAATCAGTGGCCAGAAGGAAAACACATTGCTTCTCTGAATAGCTCTAAGTATCTTTTACATTCAGATTTATCAGTGAAGAGCAGTCTGGAGAAATGCTGCTGAAATTAGAGGGAAGCAGATGCTTCTAGTTGTACCGAAAAGCCATGTGGTAATTCATTACGCAACACTGAAAAGACTGTTCATCTTAACAGAATAAAAATCCTGGAGTCAAAAATATCTCAGGAAACCTAAATTTCACTTCAGACTAGTGAAATCATTGTTAACAAAAATAGAAAGAACACTTCTGTGCTTTAAAGGATCTTTTATTGATTGTGTGAGAAGTTGGATTTAGCATGGAAGCTGCAGTGCATGTGGGAACCCTAACAGGTAATGAAGGAAGAGAGAAATTGGTTCTGTAAAGAAAATTATGGAAAAGTATTTATACTCCTGCTTGTGCTTTTTTGTGCTAATAACAAAGTGTATTTGTAAGTTCAGAAAGTGCTTTTAGAAGTCCTTAATGACATACAGCAGTGTGTCTTGTGTTGATGTCAGAGGTTGTGGTGTTGATTGTTGAAGCAAAGGTCTGGTTTTGCAAAGCAGATATTTTAAAATTCTTAAATATTTTTGTAATGAATATGTTCTTGAGCTTTTATTTAGAAATTACTAGTATTCTGACAGATTTGGAAGAATATGCCTGCTTTGGTAAGAAATGGAGATCACTAGTAGCTATTGGCATAGGAAGCCATAGGTCCCATGTAAAACTACCAGAACTTTTTTTTTAACACATTCAACTTCCGCGTTTCTTACAGACATCAGCTTTGTCTGAATTTTTCAAGAATATTACTTTATCTACATTTTTTGTAAATGATGTAGAAAGGTGGTGGTCCTCTTGAGTACAGAAGAGTCAAACTGGTAAACTGATATTTTACACCTCTACTAAATAATTTACTTAAATTGGATAGGAAAGAGAACAATATCAGTGGTTTAGGACTGTTCAGCTGTTTAATCTGGGACGTTTTACTCATTATATGGAGCCATAGTGCTGTTTTGAGAAAGTCTCAAGGAAAACATCATGTCTACTTGATTTCTAGGTCATCTTGATGATTTTTCCTGAATTCCGAACTGTATTTTTATGTTGAAATGAGAAATAATTAAATACATTTTTCTCTTTTAAGGGGAACGACCATTTCAGTGTACTCTGTGTGAAAAGGCTTTTAACCAGAAGAGTGCTCTTCAAGTCCATATGAAAAAGCACACAGGAGAGAGGCCTTATAAATGTGATTATTGTGCAATGGGATTTACACAGAAAAGCAATATGAAGCTGCACATGAAACGGGCTCATGGTTACACTGGTATGTGGCATAATGACAGTAACGCTGAGTGCAGAAAGCGATATGCTTTACTGGGAAAGCACAAAACACTTCCCTTAAGTTATTGAGGAATTAGGCACTAATAGCCAAAGACCAGAGTTGATGCGCTAGTAGTTGAACATGCAAGCCAAAAAGCAGGTGGAAACAGAAACTGGTTACTGCTTATGGTTCCTTGTTTTTTATGTGAAGCTCTGTAGTATAGAAATAGAGAATTCAAAAACTATTACAGGAAAACAATCCATTGTATTAGGTTTTTTTTAAATTTTTCAAAGAGCATGTAATGAATTTACAGAATCTGAAGTAGTTGTGTAATGCTTTTCCCAGCATGATTCCTTTATTCCCAAGTGCTATATTTACATTTGTCTTACACTGCACATCAAATGGTACTCATTTGTCTTTTTCTATGGTACTTTGGTAGGTCCTGTACAAGAGCCTGCTAGTCATCAAGAACAAGAAGGGGAAGATATTAGTCGTGCTCTGAATTTAGAAGAAGTGGTACAAGAATCTTCAAATGAGTGGCAAAGTATAGGCAATGTTTTTCGATGACACCTTGAAGTTTGAAAGCTGAAAATGTTTCTGGGACTCAAATTTCTCTAAACAAGTTTTCAGAAAAGTAAAAGATGGATTTTTACAGTTAAAGCTTCAAGCATTGAAAATATTAACAATGGAATAATATATTATAGGGTTTTTTTTAATAATTTACAAACATTACCTAAAAGAATAATTTTTTTTTTTAAGCTTGTAGAAGAATATTGGGAAAACATCGTTTAATCTGTGCTAAGTTGTCTGTGAATCAATGAACTCAGGTAATACTGTATACAGTTTCATCTTCTAATTCACAGCCAGCATATCTATTTGAAAAATAAACTGGAACTTTATATCAGAATCAGATTCCCATTTTTAAATGAGGTAAAGAATAACTTCGTGGGAAAACCATGAAACTGTCGGTCAGCTTTCTTTTTTATGTGTTTAAAGAAATGAGGTTGCAAACAGAATATTACAGAGTAGATGCATGCAGTATAAAATAGTTCTGGGTTGTTGGTTTGTTTTGTTTTTTTTTTTTTTTTTACAAGGCACAGGAAAATGCTGTATTTCTGTTTTAAGCTTTTTTTAGTACATTTTGAGAATTTGTTGAAGGAATAAAATGCCAGGAACTTAACGGCTTTTCTTGAGTTAAACTCTTGAGAGGAAGCATGTTCATTTCCATTCCAACCGCAGAGGCAGTTAGTTGGTAGTCTTTAGGTTAAAAGTCTGAGGTTTTAAACTCAGCAATAATTATTTAAAGAGAATCTAAACTAGAAGAGGTTTCAATTAAAGCCTCTTCTTTTCTGTTTGCTGTATTGGATCAGCAGGTACGTATCTCGGTATCTGTGGAAAACACAGCCATATACTAAATCTGGGAAGTAAACATACAGTTTTGTGTTAGCAGTGAGAAAGCTAGATGCACACTAGGTCACCTATATTTTACCATATTCCCCAGTGCTGTAAACAGTTATCATTTCAAATCTGTAAATTCCTCATTATTTTCTTTGTGAATTTTGGAAATATGTTACTTTTATTTGTTGTTGTTTAAGTCATTGTTTCAGCAAAACTACCTAGTTGACTAAGTAACGCTTTGAAAGGTGCCACTTGTTAAGTATATTCGTGTAAAGAAACACTGGAGTAAAAACCTAAGTCATCTTTTAGACATTCCAAAGACAGAAGCTCTTTTCTTATTTTTACCTTGTTCTTTTGAATTTTATTTATATGTTACATATATATAGATATATATATATGTGTGCTTGTATGTGTATATATATATATATTTAAAGTTATATGAGCCTCTGTGTGGCTGATCGGTATATTTTGTAAATACTAATCCCAGTTGCAGGAAGTTCATCTTTCCGGTTTGCCGCGAGTACTTCTAGATCATTGGTGGATTTGTTGTACTATAATACAGAGTCAGATCTTAATTTACCTTCTGAAAGATAATTGCTCTCAGATCCCAAAAGCCCTTTTCTGTAAATATTGTCTATACTTTGTCTATGATAGAAACTGGTTATTTCAGATTGCTGAAGCAAGAAATCACTGTTGGTTTTGATAGGGCATCTCTTAATTCTTTTGTTAACTCTTTGGCATATGTATATAAGTAATATAGTTGGTGACATGAAAATAACACTTTTGTTATGTGGAATATTTAAAAAGTCAAAACCATGTTAAATAATATTACTTTTTTTCCAAATGCTGTTTCGTGTATTTTTTAAGCATTTGATTCTGAATTCTAGGAAATTCTAAAAACTCTTGTTTACTAGAAGCACGTGTCTCAATATTATATGTAAAGAATGTATGTCAAGTTCTTCCAGCGGTGCCTTTCCTTCCAGACAGCCTATTAGTGTTCCAGCTGTTTAAGACAGACATTATATTTCACAGTTGTCTGAAGGCATACTGGCCCCATAGCATAGCACTCTGTTTATCTGTAATAATATAGCAAAATATGCTGTGTTGCATGTACCATGTATAGAACCTGTTCTATATTCCCTGTTCTTTCAGAGAATACTGTATAAATGCACCGCAAAGTTTTGTTGAAGTTGATTTGCTGCGTAGGGGATGACACTTTCCAGAGGTTGCTAACTCCAGTTTGACAGAAGATGATTTACAGCTGGTCACATCCAGGTGCAAATCCATCTGTCATGTAATGGGAATGTGACTCCTGAATGCTGGAAAGCATTTGGTCTGCTCTAGCTGTCATTGCTTTGCCAGCACTTAAAAACTGGTAGATATTTTATACTAAGTGTGTGCTAAAAGCAGATCTCATGCGTAAGAAGATACTGGTTTTAGAAGGTCATTTCTCAAAGTGTTATGTCTTGATTAGAGGCAATGAGTGCATGTTGTAAGTTTTGGAAGTTTTAAATAAGCTGCGTGAGTTACGGAGTCAGCTGACATTTTTCCTGAATTCAGTTTGCTACTTCTGTCAGTTACAGTAAATAGACTTTTAAAAAACTTCTTTGTAACACAACATTTGATTTCCTTCCCTGCATCCTCCTCCTCCGTGAACATCAAGAATTCACTCTTAAGTATCCGGACATAGAGGTTTCCATAGCCCAGGTTCCACAGTACGATTGAGTCGGAGGTTTTCAAAGCAGCGTATCTGTTGATGTTTAGTACAAATACAGACACTATAACGAATATGTTGATGTTTTCAAAAGCAACGTTGAAGTAGATGCCTTTTTTTAGGAAGCAGAAAGAACTTTTGTTCTAAGATGTGTTTGAAGAGGCACATTGTTTAGTGGGTAAGTGAATAGTGCTTAGGAACACCTTTGTTCTTTCTGAGTTGATGCAGTAGTAGGCTTACGCCAGCCTCAGGTCTCTTGGCTTGTGTCTGCTCAAGTACTTCTTTTGTTTTATGTCTGTTCCTTCAGTACAAGATATGACACACTCCTAGTACTGGTTGTGCATTCTTGTTTCAGGAAAAATCCTTTGCTTACAAATCAAATAGCCATTTAAACTGCTGTTTTTCAGCAAAGCTACTCGTGAGTAATGAAAAGAATAAATTTCAGTTTAAATGTTAATCTCTTTTGGGAGACTTGTGTTGGTAAAATGATGCTTTAAAGTAACGTACCTTTTCTTCTGTAGGAAGTAAATCCAAAAAAGCCGCTTCCAGCCTGTGGAAAATATGACTGAGGAGAAAACAGAGTGATGAAGGCAAGGAAGAAGCTTTAGATAAAGTTCTGTAGTTCTACAGGGCAGTATTTTGAAAGATATATTTCTTGAGGTTTTTTACTTTAAACATTATTTCCTGTTTTTGAAGGCTGCTTTGAAAAACAACTTGATTTTCACATACCCTGTTCGATGAAGATACTTTGTGCTAGACATGTTCATGAAGGGTGGGATTTCATTGCCTGTACACAGACATTTTGTGCCATGCAATATCCCCCTGGCCTTTAGCTGCCACTCCACAAAGACACTGGCTTCCCATAAGTCCTGTGTCATGTTGTCAGCCTTGTGGGCCACGCTAAGTCACCAGCAATGTCAGTAGAAGCCTGTGTGCAGGCAACTGGGTCCCAAAGAGTCATTTTAGTATGTGAAAATTGTTCATAGTGAAAAAAAACCCACAGAACTTCATACATATGATCATCTCTGTTGTAAAAGACAAAACTGGTCCAAGTTTCATTTCAAGTTGATTACTTTATTTCAATAATGAATATTTTTAAAAGCTGTGTTCCTATAAGAACAATACGTATTCAAATTAAATCAACTATTACGTTGCAGAGTATACATCTGAATGAAGCTACAATAGAAAAATACACATAGCAACCAATGTAGATAATAGAAGATGTAATATGTGTGTATATGCTTAATAATTTTGGTGGTTTTGTTTTATTTAGTCTCTATGTATTTTCTATCCTCACATCTTTCATTGCTTCGTATTAAGGGACACTGATTTAAACCTACAATAGATTTAGATGTGAAATGCAATTAACATACATCTTTATAGGTAACTTTTACTGGGCACTTATTAGGAATGCAGTTTCAACCTGGGAAGCATTAACTGTAGTTTGCAATGCATAGGCTAAAACTAAAAAAAAAAAATTTAATCAGATGCTTAGGTGACAGCTTGAAGAAACGGTGAGTTTAAGTAATAAAACAGTGCAATTCAGAAGAGCCTTTTATTTCCCTAAGTGTGGTTGGAAATACCGTTGCCACACGTTCGTTTTAGTAATTTGTGAACAATTAATATCTAAATCTAACTCAGCTATGATTTATTTCTATAAGGCAACTACAGTACAACAGTTAAATGTTCACAGTAGTTTACTATGAGTTTACTTTGGTGCACTGCCCGTAATAGGCATCCAGATGTTACTCAGGCAAAGATGAGCCCATCAAATACAACACTGCTGCAATACCAAGAGAAAGATTTGAAACTCTAACATGAGATGTGCAGGACTATCTGAGATACCAGTACTGAAGGGCTCTCTTTCAGAAATTAGACTTTATTTTTTATATATTTATTTACTTACTTATTGTACTGCAAAGTTAATGCTGTTGCAGCAGAGTGTGTGAAGCACCAGTGACGTCCAGTGGTCACTTGTGCAATCTTAGATGTTTCTTCTCTGGGAATATCCCGTGTTTCTTAACATTAGTCTAACTCAAATTTGAAATCCTCTTTCTCTCCCTCATCTGCTCTTAATTCTAATGGTTTGGATGCGATGAGCAATTCATGGTATGGAAAGAATTTCCTTATTACTGTTGCTCCGCATCGTAGTGATTCTACGACATCTGCCCCCTCCCACGCTTCACATACCTTGAACTCCCAATGTTTGGTAAACCTTTCCGTGACTGCCTAATCCTGTTATAAAAATAAATTATTCTGTGAGTGAGAGAAGGAAGATTAAAAACCAAACCAAAACCAAACCAAATCAAAAAAAGTATTTGGATAAACAGTCCTTACAACTTCTGCACATGGTGGAGTTTTGTTTTTTTTTTAACAGCAGTGTCTCAAATTCATTAACAGCAGTGCTCAGTATCCAAGACATTAGCTCTTTATTTGTAATTCTGATATTCACTAAAACAAAACCAGAAGACTCAAGCTCGGATTAGGTGCTTGGAGAAATAATGAAGTCCAGCATACAGTTAGGGCATCCTGAAGAAGAATGAGTAAAGTCAGAGATCTTGTTACTTCACATAAAATAAGGAAAACATCTAGTAAAACTACTTTTTGTGTTCCTTTCATTCAACTGTTGGTCAGGGATTGCCAATAGAAGTTTGTATAATCTACTGCATGCAGAACCTAATTGGCATTA